TATCAGTATAAAGTGACTTGGTAAAGGTATTTTTTTTTTAAATGTAAAAAGACGTTGCGGTCAGGAGTGACGGTCCCTTTCAGTTCCACTTTATTTTCATGCAGTTATATTGTAATCTTCATTAGGAAATATAGGAGAATAATATTAGTTAAACGCCCTTAGAGTAAGCTCCTTAAATTTCACATTCTAATTCAGGGTTTAAGTGTCCTTATATATAGTACGTATATAAGTGACACTCTCCCAACTTTAGAGAGTACAAGTAATTGACTTTAAAGAGCAACGTCACTCTAGACATCAAAAAACAAATTTTTCTACTTATACGAGATAGTTAGGGGTCTTAACTCGTTTTTTAATTTCTAAAACAGTTAAATAAAAAAATTTAAAAAAAAATTTTTTGTTAATTTTTAAATTTTTAAATATTTTAAAAATTAGAGTTAAAAAAATCTATCTAAATAAAATACTAACTCTAGATTCTTAATTGAAAGAAATATGAATGATTGACATGTGTTCAAATACTTCAAAATAGTTTTTTTTTATAATTAAATTAATTTATTACTATGTAAAAATCAGGAGAAGAGAAAAAAAATTTATTTTCAAACTTAATCTATGAAATGTTAAAAGTCACGACATTTTAATTAAATAAATTTTTCAAAAGCTCAACTAGAATTTTTCACATTTCTATATTATAAAATTTTAAAAATTCAACACATATAATAAATGAAAGTACATTGAAAGTACTTAGGTAATAATAAACTTTTTTAATATTTCACAAGTTACACTTAGAAAAATATTATTAAAAATGGTAACTTTTGATAATTCATATACAGTACCGTCCGAAATTGTCAGTCCACCCATTTTTAAAGGAATGAAAAAAATTCTTTAACGTAAAATTCATGAAAACTAAAATTTTTTTTGGTTTATATTTTGTAAGAGGATAAAATTTTGAAAAGAATAAGACCTCACAGAAGTCATTTGCCCAAAATTTGTAGAAGATATTCTTAATAATCGTCATTTTCAATGTTTTACAAAAATTTGAATAACTTATAAAATAATGAACGCTTTTTAATAATCTTTGGCTTATTTTAAAGGTCATTTTCTACGGAATAAAAATTACTTATAGGCATTAACCTGTAATTTTTTACTTGGAATAAGCATGACGTCAAAGTTGGACAAAAAAATTCAAAAAATTTGAAATAATATTATTAAAAGAAAAATAATTTTTGAAATTCAAACATATTTTTTTATTAACTTTTCTTTAAAAATCTTCACCATATCATGTTTTATATATGTTCTAGAATAGTTTTTAGTACAAAAAATTTATTTCAAATTTTTCTAATTTTTTTGTCCAACTTTGACGTCATGCTTATTCCAAATAAAAAATTACAGGTTAATGCCTATAAGTAATGCTTATTCCGTAGAAAACGACCTTTAAAATAAGCCTAAGATTATTAAAAAGCGTTCATTATTTTAGAAGTTATTCAAATTTTTGTAAAACATTGAAAATGACGATTTTTAAGAACATCTTCTACAAATTTTGGTCAAATAACTTCTGTGAGGTCTTATTCTTTTCAAAATTTTATTATCTTTCAAAATATAAACCAAAAAAATTTTGAGTTTTCATAAATTTTATGTTAAAAAATTTTTTTCATTCCTTCAAAAATGGGTGGACTGACAATTTTGGCCGGTACTGTATAGAGTAGGTAAGTTTTGAAATTAATTTTTCTGCACTATTTTAGGAATTTTTATACATAGATTGAAGTTGATTAAATTTTGAACAAATATGAATTAAAAAATGTATACTATCAAATAAATTATTTCCATTGTGTTTTATTAAATTTTTATGAACCGACCTTTTTTCTCTGTATGTACCTTTTATTAAAAATTCAAAAGGAAATGCATTTAATTTTATAAAATATTTGTCAAAAATAAATTGAATGCGGATATTATTAAAAATCATTATTACGAATTATCAGATTTTTCTAAAAATAGGCCGCGCAACGACTTCGCAGATGACATATATAAATGGATTGACCTAAATTTAATTTAACATTCTAAGGAATTAAAAATAGTTTCTTTATAAATTATTGTAGAAAAACTAATTTTCATTGATACTAAATGAAGAAAATTTATTTTTTAGTTGAATAGCAATTTAATTAAAAAAATTCTAACTAAAAAAGAAAATTTTTTTTTAATTTTTGAAAAAATTGAATTTTATTACAAATTTTCAAAATTGTTAATTTAATGATGTTATTTATGTAAAATAACAAATAATTATAATTAAGGAGTTAAATCATTAACACGGGGATTTTTTTTTTTAATTTTTAATTATGAAATAATTAAACAATGAAAGTTTATATTCGAAGATAAAATTTTTTTCTAATTTGCAAAGTAATAGTAAACGGAGTACAGCATTTCACGCGCGTATAACATTTTCTCGTGTACATAATAATTTTCGAGATATTCTTGAAATTATAATAGTTTCAACAAAACGTTTTTCATGAATGAATAATTTTTTAAAATAATTATCAGATAATTATTATTATGGGGAAAATGAAACGTTGTTAATTTATTTCTCTGCTGTAGGACAAAATAATATTTTCATTAATTTTATTTTCAAAATTATAGAATATTAAGATTACGTGGTATCTAGTTTTTTTTATTTTATCAAAAAAAATTTTTTTCTTGAGTTATTTTGAAATTCAGTTTACAAAAATATAAAAAATTGGTTCTGACCCCAAAAAATCTAACAGAGTTATCATAAAAAAAAGTATTTCGCAGTTTTCACAAAAATTTAATAGAATATATATAAAATGCATTAAAAATAAGATTATATTTGTCATTTCTTTAACTTGACATTTTAAATTATAATGTCATGAGACCGTCATGACAGTGGAAATAAAAAGCTGAAAATTTGAAAAATGACAGGCACAACAATATTCAATATATCATAAGGGAAAGAAAAATAAATCTAGAGTAGAATAAATATACCTATACACACTTCTTTATCATGTTTCCACTCACATGTATACGTCATTCGTAGAAAAACGTACTCCATTTGTATGAACCTATGCAAATGTAGCATATATTTGTACCAAAAAGTTATATATAGTAGGTGAGAAATAAATAAAAGCAGTATTATACTTCTCTAGTTCGAGTTTTCTCTTTATGCACTCATTAATAAAATTCCACTCGCAATTACAGAAGGAGAAGAAAAAAAAGTTTTGAATTTTCTTCATACACAACCCAACTGTGAAGAAGAAACTAAATTATTAACTCTTTTATTATCCAAAAGAAAATTTATAAAGAAAAATTATTATTATATAACTATCTACTATTATTATCCAAAAGGAGATTAAAAAAAAAATTCTTATCCTTCTAACTCTTCTGTATTTTAATTTTAATATCAAATATAGTTAATCTATGAAGAATTATTCCGTGAGCAAAAATTCTTTGACCTATTTTTTATGATGAATTTTATATTAAATTCTATTGTTTGAGTGGCGAGGAATGTCCTATGCATAAAATCATGGATTCATCAATTACAGTCAAGATTTGAAGGTTTATAGCCCATAGTAAAAAGGAGGTATATTCGGTTGGAGGCGTTTTGCATTCAATGTGTAAGGGTTTCATCTCAAAACCGCATTGGGAGGTTTTTCCCAATACATTTCACTTTACCTATTGAATACTTTTCTCTACGTAGAGTACAAATTAAAGTTTTATGAGATAGAAGATCACAGGAACAGTTTCTTCCAATTCAACCTATAATATATCATTGAGCTGGAACGAAAAATCGTTCTTTTCAATTTAAATATAGTGATACATTAATTTTTCATTTCGACAATTCCAAAAAGAAAAATAATGTTTTGTCATTTAACGCCGGAAAGTGCAAATATAACTTTGTCTTCAAAGTTTTAAATTCAAAAACTCAGAGGAAAAATATTACAATCAACTTTTTATATTTTTCGAAATTGCGCTCTTCCGATACATGAAAATAAAGAGCAAGAATAATGTAAAAATGAAAAAGTCGAAAATATTTTTTTTTTGTTAATTATCAATTTATAATTTGTTATTACAATTTTTGTTATTTATAATTATAATTTGTTATGTTATTTGTTAATTATTTATAGTTGTTATTATTTGTTACAATTTATTATTATGTCATTATTATTAATTATTATTCTTTATTAAAAATACGCCACGGTGACGTGACACTATTTAAATAATAATATTTTTATAAAAATTTATAAATTTGAATAATATCGCGTTTGGGGCGAAATTTTACGTTGTGCCGCTCCTGACTTTGCGTTCAGCCAATCAGCGCGCGAGAGTTCCCCACTGCCGAGCGTCATGCGGTCCCCACCACGTCCGCGCAGAGTAGAGTATAAATTCCGCCGCATAGCTCGAATCGAGGCAGTCCCCGCGGCAGGGATGGGTACGTAACATACTTCATGTATGTTACCTGGGTTTGTTACTGTATGTTACCTAGTATGTTACGTCCTTACATTGTTACATCCATGTATTTTTCGAGAGTGGGGGGTAACATACGTATGTTACCTCATGTAACATACATGTAACATACGTAGAAAACCTCGAGTTACGCGTAACTGCGCAACCCTGCCCCGCGGTCTTACCATACGAGGAGGTTCTAACAGGGACGGATTTAGAGTTGTTAGGGTCCCTTCAAAAATTTTTATATATTAATAAAATTGTCAACGCATTAATCCGTATAATATAAATAATTATTACCGTATTAATCACATTACTAATGTACAAATTATTATTATAATTATTCGATGTAGTGCCCTTTAATAGTCTCCAACTGTGGGCTTGTTAATAATGCAAATACAAAAAAATATTAAGTTGTAACTGCAATTATTTTTTAAGACAAAGTAGATTACTTACAACAAAAATACATAATTACACAATTTATTTTTACATAATTTATATGAGAATTAATTTGTCAATCTCTACTAAAGTTTCTTAATCCTTTCACATTGCAGATGTCAAGTTTAAACATTAGACATGTAAGTGTGGACACTTACCGTTAATAGTTTGATAATAGTCATGCGGAAGATACAGTTTCTACTGCATATCTATTTATTATTGTGTTCATCTACAAGTTCTCATGCTGGTGAGTTCTCTAAAGTGTACCTGCATTTTTCCTCCTGAATTTAGTATCAGAAAACTGTAAAACTTAATTACTCTGTTGCAGAAGTCACACAATCTACTAAAAAAGTTATAGAAACACGTGAGGGAACTTTGAGAAAATCATCGTCAACGGACTCACCTATGTTAAATTATATATTTGATTCACATAATGCTTTAAATCACCACCAACATTATCATAGTAATCACTGGGGACCACATTTTGAGGGATCAAGTAAAAATATAACAGCACAAGCTGGTACTAATGTTACTCTTGATTGCAAAATATCTATGCTTCATGATAAAGTGGCAAGTATTAATAATTAATAATAATTATAAGTAGGATTAATTAGATATCTAAAACCGTTTGTATTTGACGCTGAAGAATTCGTGAAGTCCAGTCTTTATTATACAGTACATCCAATTATGCCTCATCCAAAAAAATAGGTGTCCCAACTGATCCTCTTCCTTAATGCAGATCTTGACCTGTTTCGAAAGAAAAATCTCGCGAAATGAGCTGACTTGCTAAATAGTCAGCAATATTAATGAAGCTGAACTGATTGATAAATTCTGTAATAAAGCCTTTCTTTTATTTGATCTTAGTTGTTTTGTAACTATCCGGAAATATTCTTTGGTTCTACGCGTCACGCCTTTTATGGAATTCCTTTAAAATACTAATCCTTGAATTTTTGGTAACCATCACGGTCACCAATATCCCCATGGACCCCACGCTAGTCCATTATCGACTATGAAACATAAATTGTCTGATGGACTTACCAGGATTCAATAATGTAATCGGAATTGTTCCAATTCTTGGAGGATTGCGAATTGATGAAGTCAAGAATTAGCATAAATTACAATAAGGAGAGAATAATAGAAATTTGATGCTTAAAGATATTTCGGTTTTTAATGATGAATTTCTCAAAAAATTAACAAGGAAAATACTTGATAACTTGGTTTGCCCTTCGGATAATAATCAATTTTAATTAATGTAGTGCATCTCGTAATTAGTACTCAATTATCCGACTGAGGGACCTTACCTTAAAATGTTGTTTTAGTTGAGGAATGCATCTAAACAAGTTATATCAATAACAGTATAAATATTTATTTTATCCCTTTTAACTTCTCTCTTTTAGAAAGTTACAATTCCCTCTGAAGCGTATTTTAAATTCCTCGTTTTAATTAAATTCCCATGAATTCATAAACTTGACATAATAATTAGAATTGGACCAAACCACCAATTAGCTTTTATTTTCGAATTGTTTTACAATTTTGCTCTTGCTCGACATGAATATTAGTTCTGATAGTCCGAACAGGTGTTGGTTCATATCTTAATAGCTGCCGTATTATAACAAGATCGAAAATATTTCTGAACTTTTTTTCTCATCTTCTTAAATAATTTGAACGGTAATTATTAAAATTATTTTCTAATTTGAATTCGATTGGAATTATCACACTTTTTCTTTATGTGACGATATTTTTATTACACTTTGCGTTTACGTAATTTTTCTTATAACTTTACTTCTATATTAAATTTCTTACTCCATAACACTACCGCGACGGAAATTGTGCGGAGGCTAACACTACGTGCCATTGAAAAACATAATTCGCATTAAAATGGAGATTACTCTGACAAAAATGAAACTGGAGACTTTATCCTTATTGCGTTGGAAAGCTTATTAAATTTCGAAAAAAAACTTTATCTGAAAGATTGATTAAAGGAATTCGCACTATGCTGGGAAGTTGAAAATATAATATTTTATTTTCCTATCATGACTTTGACCCCCTGGTAAGTTTTTGGAAAATAGTCTTCCTTGTGATAAAGGGAAAAAGAAAATATTACCTGTAAATGCAATTTCAATTGCATTCACTGTTGTGGTTCACACAATTTCCAACTGTATATTTATTTCAAAAAGGAACCTGCAATTTATCAGGATTCAAGTGGTGCAATTCGAATTACAACTAATATTGAACAATTCGTCTGTTCTAAAGATTGATTCACGTTATGATGTAAAGTATTTAAAGTTGTAACATTCCCAACATGGTACAGGGGATTCCATTAAAGTTGAAATTAGCTCTCGCACCGCCACCTTTATAATCTTGAGTTTGCCGTGCTTATATGAAACTCTGTGTAGTTATTAAAATGTGCACATATGAGGAAACGTTTGACGCAAAAGTTGACTAAACATTTTCGTGAAATTCGTATAGAATTCTACCTCAATCATTTAATGTTTCCACACGGGAAACTTTGTGGGTGAGATCCTCTATCTAGCGGTAGGGCTACTATGCTTACAATCCAACGTTTTGATGAATTGCTCTCCCTTTTCTCAAAAGCTGCTCTATTTCCCTTTTTCGTGGATATTATTTTAATGAAACAGTAAAACTTTCATATATATTTATTAAATTCTTATTATTGTACCCAACTTTAGGTATCATGGGTTCGTCGACAGAAGGATGGAGAAAAGATGACTTTATTGACGGTTGGTAGTGTTACCTACACCGGCGATCCTAGGTACACTATTAAATTTCAGTATCCAGACAACTGGCGCCTGCAAATTAATTATGTGAACAGCAGTGACGAAGGTCAATATGATTGTCAAATAACAACACACCCGCCAAAATGCATTCATATAAATTTACATATTAACGGTAAGTGTCCATTTAATTAAATACAACAATTTTTAACGTTTGACGTAATGCCTTAAGGACTTCAAAGTTAAAGAAGTTTTATTGGTTCAGAGGTGATTCTCTAAAAGAAATATTCCATAAAAAACAGTATCAACCGCGTGGTTTTGATGACTCCGACATGCACCGTGGTTTAATTATTCCTTTTCCCATAACGACTCCTCTATTAAATTGTTAAGAGTCAAAGTACCGTTACGAAATTGGACCAACATTTTAAGTACCTACACCTTTTAAAAAATATAAAATCAAAATATTTTTACCACCCAAATAATTATGATAGAAACTGGTATTTACATTTCCAAATTGCTTCTAACTAAATAGTATTTCCTTGTAGAATATTTATAGGTAATGAAACTTAATGTAAATAGAAAGTTAAGCCGCGAGAGTGGTGATTTATACTTTGTATTTTGACTTTATACACTGTTCTCAAAGATAATGATATTTAAGACGAATTTTAACTCTTCCCGCATAAAGTAATGAATTATATTTCACTTTAAGTAAATAATAAATTTCTTTAAAGAATCATATACCGTAATGCTGGGAGAAAAGTTTGTATTAATATTTATTTCATATAAAATTTCGGGTAAAATAGGTTCTGAATTAAATGGAGTTACTTAGAAAGGGATAATTGTTATTTATGATGTTGTAACAACTAAAAAATTATAAAATTTAAATTCTAAAACTCGTGGTATAAAATTGTGAACAATTGAGATACGCTATAAAAATTAATGTAAAATCCCTACGATCTTAGAAAAATACTGACCTAATGTACAATCCTTAAGGACTCAGAATCTTGATTCGTTTCGTTCAAAAATCACCAATTCCGAAGAATGATTATTAAATTATTTCTTCTTGATCTAATCCTAAATTTTTACCCATGATTCCAAAGGTACGATAATTGCTAACTCACACTCCTCCTTTTAAAATCGATAATCCTAAATACCTCTTTATTTAACTATAAATTCAATCCGAAAGTTGAATTATTTTTTGTAGTATCCGCTTCAGGGTGAAGATCATTGGGATAAATTTATTGGGGCAAATATCAATTCGCGGAAATAAACGGAAATGATCTAATTTGTTGATTCATTTGATTTGTTCATTAACAAATTAGATTATCGCTCATTGTCCCGATTTTTTAACTGATTGATAAATTACGTTAGCTTTTAATTAACTATATGTGCTGCCAAACAGAAATAAAAGCACATCTTTGCGATTTCTTTTTAAAGAACCTTATTTATCATCATTAATTTTGTAATTGTTGTCCAATATTTAATGTTTTAAGAAATATTTGTAGAATATTTAAAAAATTCTCAAAATTGAGCTAATGATAGAACCAAGACACCTAAAAAAGTTTGATAATTCGAAGGGGGTTCATTTAAAATTAATTAATTAGTAAATGATTGAATCATTGAATCGAGAAAAGATTTCTTATCGAACAAACTACTTTTAAAACGAATTCTTGCCGTTCATCGAGGACCGAGGATATGTATTATATAAATATGCTATACAACATAAGGTGGCAATAAAGAACCAGCTGCGCTAGCAGTAAACATAAATAACGTCGAAGTTTTCACTGAATTTATAACGCGTTAAACATATTTGGCACTTTGGCGACACAGAACTTTTTTTTTAAGGCTCGATAGTGAAGCTTGTTTTATAATAGTTTGAGAATATTTTTCCGCACGAACGTCAGCCAACATTTATAAGATTTTTCCGAAAAGATTTATCGCTTTTGTAATTAACCACGGATTTTAACTTTTTGATGCATGTTCGCGATCTGCGATTGTAATTCCTAGCACATTGATCTTAAATTTAAAAATTAAAATACTAAGTGTACCGGAGTCCTAGAAGGGGTGCTAGAAGGGTTCCTAAAAGATTCTCTTTAAAAGGTCACATGCAAAAAACTTTATGTGATTTAAATACCAAAAAAAGAATTGTTCGCGTAGTATCGCTAGGGTAGTAATAAAATTCTTCTAGTTTTATAATAAAATATTCATAAATTGGTGCTAAATTTTTAAAAATGTTTTAAAATTCATTTTCATACTGCTAAGGATACTATGATAAATATAACAGATTTATATTAACAGATTTATATTCTATTGATCTGTTCACAGCTCCATCTGTACAAATAGTCGATACTATGGGTAAACAAATAAGAGACAAATATTACGAGGCATACAGTACAATTGAACTATTATGTCTTATAAGGCATGTGGCTATGCAGATGCAGTACAGCGTTGTACAATGGCTTCATGGAGATAAAATATTAAACTACGACACGACAAGGGGTGGCATTAGGTAAGTAATTTTTTATCGAATCTCCATGGTTTTGCTGACTAACGTCTCCTTCATATTATAATTTATTTATAACCGTAATTCTCACCCTGGAAAAATATATATAATAGTTATTTTAAATTAATGAAAATTTATGACATGGAAAAAATCTCTTTCCGGCAAGCAATATTGATTGCTGGAGAGGACTCTCTGACAACGTGCCCAGTGAGAGAGTGAGCTATTTGCAAAACTCACGTTAGACTCCAAACGCGAGAGTACGCGAGAGTAAGCGAAAAGTCTAATGCACCACCCACTTTAAACAATAAAAACTTTTTAATTATTCATGTCATGTTAATATAACGACTAACAGAAAAAACTTTTTCATAACTTAATGAAAATTTTTCTTACTAGAAGTTTCTCGCGCATCATAATATAATCCCTCAATAAATGAGAGCGTTTAGTATGAAAAATATTGTTGTTTGTAAGGGAGTTGTAAAAAAATTAATTTTCCTGTTTTAAGTTTACTTTTTAAGTTCACTTTGGATACTTGGAATATTTAACTATTGAATTTTGTTTCACTGCGCGATTATAAAAAAACTTCAACTATTGTTTTGAATAAATGAACTATTTGGAAATTTCTATACTGTAATAATTAAGCAGCACTGACAAGTCTGAGTGATTCGTAAATAAAGGTAGTTTAATTATAAATGTTGATAATGTACTTTGCCTCTATTGGAAATACACTGATTTAAGGGTTTTTGTTGTAGCTGATTATGAATATGAACCGAGAATATGACGCGACAGCAGTACAGATTGATCTCTATTGAATATTTTCCCAACAAGCCTATTTCTCCTATTTTTAAAATATTGTTATTTCTCATTGAAATAATAATCTAATAATTAATTTTTAGGAATTAAATATTCTACATAGTATAATGCTAATGGTAAAAATAGATAAAAATAACATATGAGAAACAGCATAAAAATAAAAACGTACTCTAAAGGGAAAAATCCTGTTCTAAAGTGTAGGAAATAATAAATCGAATAATATGTAAAACAGATAAAATGTCGTACATCAACAGCCATGTAGGGCCATCAAATAGAGATTTTAAGTTTGGATCTAAAACAACCGAGAATAGGGGCATTTGCTATTGTGTAAGGAAGAGGGTTTCATAAAGAAACAGCAGAAAGAATAAAAGATTTTTTATAAAGCTTTGTGTGACAAAAGAGGCTTTTATCAAAACTGTAAAGTATCTGAGCTTCCTGTGACCTGATATCTAAAAGTAAACATCAAATAAGCGTCATAGGTTTTGGAAATAAATTAAACTAATCATTAAATCATTAATTATTATAGTCTTGACCCTTTTCTCAGGTACAACTTGGATGAAATCTTTTCTTATTGGCAAAGACCTGAACAATATTCAACTCATCTATTAGCTATCTACTCATTTTGTAACTTCTCACTATTTTTTGGCATTTGTAGTAACTCATCACATTTATTACATGACCATGACGGATTGGCCTTTCCTTCTTCCAATTAAAAAACCGTAAATTTTCAAAATCCTAAGTGGATGTAACACCTTAGAAGATAATCTGTTATTAGAAATTGTCAGCAACAATCCGAATCAAAAATATAATTGACCAATCCTCTCTGGTTCGACTAACAATTATTTTTCGATAGTCCTCAAGTTTTTGGAGGAATCTTTACTTTATTAAAAGCCACAGAATACTTTGAAATATATGCGGTCCAATCTAGAAAAACGTCAAATTCGTTCCGAATCATGCTAACTGACCAAACATTCCAAAAACCAGGTCAATAGATTTCTAAAATCTGCTCCTGCCAGGAAGTGAACGAGAATTGTTGGGAAGCAAAATTTAACAAACACTCAACGTCAGGGTCAAGACATGTGTGCACTAAAAATGAACATGAAGATCGTCCATATTCGTCCAAAGGAAGATTCGTGCGGTAAAAAGAATTTCCCTATAAATAGATTCCTTTGGCATTGTATAAAACATAAATTTTAAAGATTTGATATTTTAAAGTTGGAAAGGTTTTAATTTCTTTTTAGAAATATGCAATTTTTGATTAAGTGTTATAAATTTAGTCTCTAGCTACTTTATTGGCGTGGTGCGTTTGGAACAGACAGAGAATAGGAGAACTGTACATGGTGCTTCATTCGAGGAAAAGGGAAACCATTCCAAGAGATGAAAATTAAGACATGACAGTTATAATCTTTATCTTATTATAACATTACTGAACAGCTGCATTATGTGCAAACGTCGTGTAATGCTAATGCCTAAGTTCCCATCTTTCCTCTATGAACAAAATGTCTACTATAGTTATATACCTTCTGACAAAGTTAATCATTCAATCCTTTCTCAAAAATCTTTCAAACTTATTACACTTTCTCGCCTTTTAATTTTAATTATAACTTTCAAATCTTGATTAACTTAATAAAATTAATTTTTTTAATATGCGGGCTTTTTATCTCATCCTTTTTTACATCAACATATGCAGTCCCTCAAGAATCAGTATCAGGATCTTTATAATTACAATTTATATTAATGAGTTAATATTTCACCTTTGGGAAACTTCCTTTATAAAATATAATTTTTCTAAATAATTAATTTGTTTAGTACATCAGAAATTATAAAAACAAACTATTCTATTAAAACTGGATGAAACTTTTAATATTCAACATAGATGATTTACTTGATTTATGACAATTGTTTTTTGACAATCTGTTCGCAGTCTGAAAAGGAAAATTAATTTTTTTAGGGTAATCAGGGTTCTTATGAACCTAAGGTTCACTCTGTTATTTCTCTGTTCTTACTTTTAATTTTTCTTGTACCTTTAAGTGATGAGGGCCGCTTTCGACATTTGCTGACAGTAACTCCCAAGAGTGTGATCAGTGGTATGTAATTTTTAATTTCAAACCTGTAATTGTACAAGAAAGTTCGAAAAGTTTAATTCTATCCTAATGTTGGCTCCTGAGAGTTACTGTCTGTATAATTGTCGAAAACACCCATTATGAGTAATTTATAGTGTCTATATAATAATTGCTAATTCGTTATTTCTGTAGTACAACACTGAATCTAAAACAGTATAGTAATTATTTCCATACCTTAACATCGAATCTAAAACAGTTTGGTAAGTCCCAAACTACATGAATCAATCAAAATGTTTAGTAATCAATATTTTAATTAGAATTCACAAAAAAAACAAATTGTTTTTATACCATTCGGAGAAAAATTACTCGATTTCCAGGATTTTCTTCAGATTTATAAAATTTATAAAATTTATGAAATTTATAAACTTTATAAAATTCCTTGATATTTTCAGAGTTTACAGATAGCATGTCACCCTTTCCTTGACATTATTATTAACTGCCCACTTTTCCTTTATCCTTTCGTCTGTATTGTTATCTTTTTACAGCTCAATGTCCAAGACACAAAACCACTTCACCTTTATTTCTTTGAAAATAAATTTCAAAAGCAGTTATAGCTTTAAATTTTCTTGCAACTAATTTACTCTCAAGTTAACTTTTTTAATTATTTGCTTTATGACGCTCGCACAATGGTCATTAATGTATTGTCTCTTATTTAGTAACTTGAATTACCGTAATAATCTCTATGACTTTAATATTTTAATAGATACCTATTTATCAACATTTTTAGTTGCATATATAGTTTAACAGTATCGTTGATTTTTTTTGTCAAAAAAAAAAATTTTTTAATTTCGAAATAAAACAGAGGAAGGGATTGAAATAGAAAATAAAATTGTTTAAGAAATAATTTTATCTACTATGCTATTCTTGCCTTATAGGAGTAACAGGACCCATATCGGTTTATAGGAAGTTAGAAAGTTACCCAAATGGTATTCTATTAATTTTGCAATTGACACTTATCCCTCTAACCGAACATGTGAACTGTCACCTGTTTGGTACTGTAATAAAGAAACCTTGTGGGAGAATTTCCTTGTCAATTATTCAAAGTTGTGGAAACCACTTGTTACTCAGGTCCGAAATCCGAATTGTTTGCTTTGGTCACTTTCTTTTAGTTTTAAGAAAATATCACGAGGAAGTTAAATTTATTCAAATAATTCTTTGAAAAGTAGAGACGAGGAGGAATGCAAGGGGGTCAAGAATAACCCAATATCGGAAAACTTTTCCCAAACTTTGAATAGGCCTGTAACTTATTTTAACAAGTATGCTTCTTACTTTGGCGTAAAATGATTTTTTCGAGAGAAAAAAACCTTTCAGAACAGCGTCAAACTGATAGAGGTTCGAAAAAATTTGTTTGAAAAATCAGGAAGAGTAGAAAACTAATGGATATAGCTACAGTGATTCTTAAGGTTTAGTAGCCTTCTGGCACTTTCTGTAAAAATGATATAAGATCATTGAAGCTTCCTTTACGAGAAAGTAAAAATATTAATATTGACAATTAAAGAAAAGATGATTTCATAATTATTTTTTAATTCCCTCTTATATTAATAATAACTATTATTTTACTATAACTTCAGGCCCCCTTGGAAAAGATGATCTTTACTATAACAAAGAAGAAAGTAATTTTTCTCTATTTATTACATTTAAGAAACAAGAATTGTGTTTTTGCTTTAGAAATTAGAAATTATAAATTAAAATTAAAAGTGTAATTAAAATACAAGAATGCAGCACACTTTGTTCGCGAATCTATTGTGCTTAGGGCTTGAATACCGCGCTGGCCGACACAAGCTTTAACCAAAATTCAAGGTGTTTGCAGACAGTATGAGCAATTGTTAGTTTATTTAATTTGCCTTTTGTTTAAAATATTATTATAATGTTTCCTTTTGTCTATTTATTAAAATCCAGATTCACGGTAAAACAAATTTTTAAGAAACTCTAAAAATATTTTATCAACTAAGCGTCCGCATTGATTTTCTATTTCAGTGTAAAGACGAATCTGATGGAAGAAGGAGCTAATTCTACTCTCAGTATAGCCAGAGTTGCTCCATCAGACAGTGGAAATTACACGTGTTATCTTACCATTATGCCGGAGAAACCAGCAGTAGTACATATTCATGTTCTTAATGGTATGTATACGTTTGCTTTTGATAAAAATAAAATTATCCACAAATAGTCCATTGTCAAGTTAGTGCTTTGAGATTTTTTTAAAAAGACCGCAATTTTTTTGCTCAAACATTTAAATTACATTTTTATCTGAATCTAGTTAGAAAATGTATAATTTAAAAGTTCAGGAGAGTTTCCCGCTTTCGGTTAACTATGCGCGTAACTACCCATCCCTGTATAGAGACTGTAAATATACCCAACCTTTTTGACATAACCGGTTTTATTTGCGATGCTTGTGATTCGCGTCAGATTGTCGACTGTTTTGTGTTTTTAATGATAAATTTTTAAAAAGTGAAATTATAAAACAGTAAATTGTGTACAAATGTTTTTTTTTTATTTTTAATGACATGAACGTTTTAATTTAATTTTAATTTCCCGAAATGAAGGGTTTAAGTAAAAAAAAGTATGTCTTGTTTTTCGACTAATTTTGACTGGACTAAAAAACTTATTTAGCATAAATAAATAAATAAATATAAATAGAATATTCTATACAGTAAGAAAAGCTATCCGTCAGTCATAGGAAAGTATGGGAATCGCATAAGTCTGTCTCACTCCCACTCATGGGATATGACTGACGTGCTAGGTTTTCGTACTGTATACCATTTGATAGAAGTTTCTGATTTCAAGGAGCAAAAGGTTTGCTTTCCACGCGAAATAAACTTTGCACTCAACATCACTATGTACTTTTAGTGCGCGCAAAGATACACACTTTCCTTCGAATAAGAAATTCTTGTATTCTGTTTTAATTGACTTTGCTTTTCCCTCATTTCTTTATTCTTTAACTTCGTATTTTATTTAAAAAAATTCAGGTTAATTCACCACATAAATAATTAACACACCTCAAAAATTTACATTTCCTTACTTTAACATAGTAATATTTTTTTTTGTATTTCAGAAAGCCTAGCAGAGCTGCAATTTAACAAAGGAAGCAGTTGGAAAAAAATCTTCAGTAGAATTGCAATTATGAGCTCAATTGTTACCTGCTTTGCGTTGAGCTAAACTTTTTTTTTAGTGGAATTAAGAACAATGTTCGAAAATAACCAAAAAAAATTTAAGCAAATTGTAAGATATTAAACATTTAAAAAAAGATATATTTAAAATAATTTTTAAAGTTGTACAGAAAGGAGAGCATAATAATGTGTATGTTATTGACGAAAATTGTGAGGCCTCTAAGAAAATGAAATATTTTTTTGTTTAAAATTGTGATAAAGAAAAAAAAGATGGCATAGAGAATTTTTAAAAGAAGGGATGATATTTAGCTTATAATTAAAATTGTAAAAATTATTTTTATAATCTTTTAAAGCAAGTACAAAGGTATATTACTTCAGTCATTCATAATATAAAAATCTGTTTTTAGAAAACAAAACCTAAGAAACCGAAAATAGAAAATATTTAATATTGCTTTTAAAAATTTACCTAAAAATTTTCTTATTCCACGCAAAAGAGGTTTAACAATTATTGTCGGTGATCTACAAAAATAATTAATTAAAAACTAAAATATGTATACTTTATTATAAAATCAACTATAAAAGAAAGTTTAACTACTTAAAAAAAAACAAGTGGAAACATTAGTTTCCATTTCATAATTAATTAGAATAAAAAAAAAAGAATTTTTCACTTTTATGAAAATTACAAATTTTTTATATGACTAATAATAAGGATAAGAAAAATATTCAATTTTGGACATGCTACCTCTTATGTATAACCTATTAGCTTTATAATTGTAGCAATTTAATTTTCGATTTTTAGTTACTTATCATGAAATATTATTTTCATAAATAAAACTATGTATTACATTTGTAAAAAAATTCCGAATTGTTTATAAACAAGTTTGTTAATTTTTAAAATAGAAACAAGGAAGTTACAAGAAAGCGAAAACTTAAGAAATGTAAATTATTTATTAGAAGTTAATAAAGTTTTATCTTAACAGACTTGTGGAAAGTTTGAGTAAGAATACGAATACATAAATAATATGATTTTTAAGATTAAATCCCACATCACTTTTGAACTTTATTACAAATATTACAAAATATCGTCCGAAATAATTTTTTCTGGTTTTCCCAATTCTTTAATATGGTGATTGAAAATTTTATTAATTAGCGCTTTTGTAGTCATTTTTCTAATAGGGTATAATTTTACGTATTTACTAAATGCATCTGTAGTTGATAAGATGTATTTAAATCCGCCTTTAGAAGCTGGTAAAGGACCGTAAAAATCGATAGATACACTGAAAATAAAATTTATTTGATTCAAATAACCGATTAATGGACTATTATCAATTAAATACTTAATTGAATCAAATAATATTTATTGGAGTCAATTAAATCATATTTGCTTCAAATACTGAAATTATTGGTTCAAATATCATCTAATTGACTCCAATAAACATTATTTGATTCAAGTAAATATTTAATTGATAATAGTCAATTAATCTGTTATTTGAATCAAATAAATTTTTTTTCAGTGTAAAATTTCTCCCGGTTCTTTTAGGTGCATAATTTCTCATTTCAGCGTAACTAGTTTGATTTGTAAATTTTTTTTCTGACATGAGTCAAAACCTTGGAAAAATGCGGATAATAAAAATACTCATTTAACATACGAAAAACTTGTTGTGGTCCTACATGTCCATACATCTCGTGAGTCTCGTCTATTAAGTAGTTAATTAAATTTTTAGTTAAACATAATTTTTTATTATCTCCCGCAATAAAATATAATAAATTTTTATCAATCAAAAAACGGTTTGTTTTACCCGATTTAACATCTGCAATTTTCTGTTTTGAAATTGAATCTGATTCCTGTTCAATTTTAATATTTTTTTATTTATTTCGCAATTGAGAAGATGGTTTATTTGCTAAATTATACAAAAATAATTTACCCTCGTGTGACTCTATATCCATTCCTGATTTTTCATAAACTGGTGTTCTACTTAATGCGTCTGCTACCGTAATATTTTTTTCTTCAATATACTCAATATCAAAGTCAAAATCCTAAATTGCTAAACCCCATCTCGTAATCCTACCACTTAGTAGTTTACACGATTTTAAAAAAGATAACGCCTTACGGTCCGTTCTGATAATTACGCGGGTGCCCAAAAATATACGATCGAAATTTGAGTAAGCTCCATTCAATCGCAAGTATGTAGTTCTTTCTCCGTCGTAAAATACGTCAGCTCGGCTCCTTTCAACGTATGGCTCGCGAAAGCTATAGGTAAGTGTTGTCCGTCTTCGTCTAACTGGTATAGCACGATTCCTATCGCTACGTCACTCGCATCTGTTTGTGAATAAAATGGTTTAGATAGGTCAGGGTAACTAAGAATGGTATATTCACAGAATAAAATTTTCACACGATTAAATGCTTCCTCTTTAGCAGAATTCCATTCCCATTTATTTCCGGTTTTTAATAATTGGAGTAGAGCGAAAAATTTTGTTAGTATGATTTTTAGCAAATTTTGTATAAAAATTAATTAATATAATATTCTTATAAGTTCGAATAAGATGTAGACACTTAAATAAATATCATCATTTTGGGTTTGAGGCTGCTTCTTGGTTTCTACAAGCATAAAGGAATTATTTTCAATAGGGGTTAGAAGACAAAAAATTAAGAAAATTTTTTTAGACGTTTTATTGTATTTTCAAAAGTCTTAAGAAATATAAAACAATTGCAGTCAATACAGTAAAATGTTCAAGGTATGACAATATTTTACAACAATTGGAACCAAAAATTTGTGTCGTATTTAAATAAATAAAAGTATATAGTATATTTGATAGTGGAACAATTCGCAATAAGAGTTGGGTTATAAAATTACAAGGTGATATAATTAGCCATAGTGGAGCAAAAATAATGTAGGGGATAAGAATTTTAAGATCCCTTTGATGTACAGCTCTAATTCGATCAACGGCAGGATGTCCTCCACCAGAGCAACATAAGGTAACAGGTCCTTCCGCCCACATTTTGTCTTCTTCACTGTGAAATACCTACTCAAAAATTAATATCAATGTGTAAAAATTTTTTATTTTTAACCCTAATATAATATTAGGGTTGAAAATAAAATTTTTTATATTTTAATATAATATTAGGTTATTATATATTAACCCTAATATAATATTAGGGTTAAAAAATAAAATTTTTTTGTAAATATTGTAAAAAGTGTACCTTGTGTTCGACTCTAAGTCTTCCAGTAGCCCATGTTAAGTACATCATTTTTAAAACTAGAATTGATGTCCACCATGCGTATATAGACCATAATTCTTGATCTATTTGCAAATTATTCGTTAACATCTTTGTCTAAAGATCTGATCTGATCTCTTGTTATTCAGTCTCAACTGAAAACATAAAAATTTATTTGTTATATTTATTTAGTAGGGTATAGAGGGCTCCAAGGTGGCTACCATGCGTTTTTATGTAAAATCACTTTTGGATTTTTTTACAATGTAATATTTATCAAAATATATTATGAAAAATGTAAATTTTATCGATTTGGAACATTTTATAATGAATCATCAAAATAATTTAGTTTTTAATGTATGAAATAGGATAAATAATTAATTATTATATATATTTATAATATTTATAATATTTTAGAATGGCTTCTTATAAGCAAAAAAACAGAGTTTGCAACTATTGATTATGTGATTATAAGCCAAAGATAATAGATTTTAGATAAAATTACCTTAAATTGATTTTTGCAACTATTTTTTTAATTTTTTAGTGAATTTTTGAATGGTGGCCACCTTGGGGCCACTTTCTTCTTAACGATGAGAAGTTCGTTAACGTATTGTTATGAAGATTCTTGTTTTCAATATTATGGAAATTGAGTGGTGTATTTAGAGTCACTGATCATTTGCAGTTCGTCAATCTCCCTATATGAAAGATTTCCCCTTTCATCATTAGAATGAAGGGCAATTTCCCCGTTCATGCTCAATAACTCTTCGAGGATTACCGCGCATGTAACGCTTTTCCCTCATATCCGCTATCCTCTACTCAAAGGAAGTTACAAAGTTACTTAGATTATCTTCCAATAATTTTGAAACTATTATACCTATTCTTGAACCTAACTTGTATTATAGTAAGCCTTATTTAACTTCTTTAACGATTATTAATTATCTTTTTGATGAGTTTGAATTTTTATTTATAATTATTTATTTGCTGATGCATTTTAATTTATTTATGACAAATTTAAGTTCTGACTGTTGCTAAATTGGTAAGATCTTTTGCGTGGACACGATAACAGAAGCAAGGTTTATCCTTAAAGTTAACCTCAAATTGAAAGCATATCATTTATAAGGCAGTTGTTGAGTTTTGCTGAATTTTTTTAATCTATTTATTAATTTTGCAAAATGATTCACTTTTTCATATCAATGGCGAAAAAAATAGCGTATGCGGCTTCCACGTAGCAATTTTTAGGTTCAATAAAAGTTAAACAAAATTCTAACTATTTTTAATAAATCGCAATTATTTCGTTTTCTCTAATCTCTTTGTACTAGAAACGTTCTAGAAACGTATTGTAGAAGGACCTTTACATTGTTACACATTTCGGATGTTCGACAATCGACATGTGGGATGTGGGTAAACTTGGTAAATACATCAGGTACTTCATAACCTCAATAAAAGCAGAATTTCATAACCAATAAGTGTCACTAAAGTCATTAAAGTCAGTTGAATTTAAATAAAAGTTGTTTTTTTAAATATAAATTCTCCTTAAATACTAACTTTAATAAAAATGAATGCATTTACGTACCTAGTTAGACGTGCGCCTACAATATCGAATCTAATTGTAAGAAATTATGCACCGAAACCTTTCACAATGCAATGGGTTCGACCGGAGAAACCCTCTTGTATTTCAACTGAAAAAAGTGGTGATTTAGGTTTGGAATACAATTTTAATTCAAAAGAACTCTGTCCGATCTATCGAGAACTTCCTGAAATTGAAAAGTAATTATTTTTTCTATTCTTTAGAGACTTTTGATACAAATATTTTCGTGAGTATTGCATATTTTTCTACTAACAAAATTTTTCTTTTGAAAAAGAAAACTATTGAACATAATAATTAAAATTTTCTAAGTGTATTAATATTTAAATTAGCATTAATTATTGTTTTGAATATTACAAGGTATGTATGTTTTTACCTTTTAAATAATAAAATAAATCTTTTTTCTCTTTCTGTCGTAATAATTAAACACAGATAGAAATAAAAAATGGCTTCTAAATGAAAATTAACACCAGATGGCGCGTCATATTTTTAGCTGATTCTGAAATTCTACTTTCTGCTACTATGTGAAAATTAAAGGCCGAGTCCTCTCTAAATAAAATAATGAACTTTATTACTTTTTCGCATATATAATTTAGTTAAAAAATGAAAAAATTTCATGAATTTAGTCGAAAACCAAGATTTTTAAATTTCTGTAGAAAAAAAAACGAAAAAATCGACCAATTTTTATTTTTCAGAAATTTTTAAAATCGTTCAAAAACTGATTTTTCGAGTATAATTCTGTTTGAAAATGAAAATAAAAAACGAATTCAGCCGAAATTTACGATTGCAAAAGTTTTCTGAAACAAAAAAAATGAAGAAATCGACGAAAATCACAATTTTGAAATTTCCTATAGAAAAAAACGAGAAAATCGACAATTTTTAAATTTTTGAAAAATTTTTAAATTTATTTAAAAACTTGTTTTTCGAGTATAATTTAGATGGAAAATGATAATATTTCATGAATTTAGTCGAAAATCAAGATTTTAGAGTTCTCTGTAGAAAAAAACGAAAAAATCAGAAAAATTATTATTTTTCAGAAATTTTTAAAATCGTTCAAAAACTGAATTATCGCGTATAAGTTTCGTTTGAAAATGAAAAAAATTACAAATTCAGTCTAAATTTAAGATTGAGAAAATTTTCTGCAAAAAAAATCAAATAAATCGACGAATTTCACGATTTTAAAATTTCCTGTAAATTTTGAAATTTTCTGTAAAGAAAAAACGAAAAAGTCGACGATTTGTAAATTTAAAAAATTTTGAAAATCGTTCAAAACCTGATTTTTGCATTATATATATATATTTTAGTTGAAATATATTGACAATTATCGAATTTTAAGATTTAAAATTTTTAGATAAATTGAAAATAGTTTAAATATATTATAATATTTAAAAAATAAGTGTTATAAAATAATTTTATATAGTAATATTGCATAATAAATAATCTTAACCCCTTATTTTTTATTTAAATTCATTTAAAGTATTTTTTTAAAATATTCAAATTTCTTGTTTAATTTACATTTTCCCCATAATCATGTAATTATTTTTAACTATTCTTTTAATTTTAGTTGCAGTGAGGATGTGAAAAAATTATTGTCACTCGAGTTTCATCATGGCAAAGAAACAGCGAGACTAAAAGCTTCTATTGCTGAAGAGTTAGTAGAAAATCATGAAAATGACCCTTCTTTCGAAGTGTCGAGTAAGTATTACATGAAATTTTAACTCATTTACATTTAATAAAAAATAATTTATATTTAAATAAAAATTTTATAATTTTTTTATATAAAATATCAAGAAATATCAATCCTCCAAGTCAAATATTAAAATATATGATTTTTATTGAATTTATGATTTTTTATTAAATCATAAACTCAATAAAAACAATCGAGAATTCTTTCTTCAACGATTAAAACTTTAGAAAAATTAAAATTAACATCAAAAATAAGATAAAATAAAAAAAAAATTAAAATTAACATGTTTTTTAATTTTAGTTGCAAGATTGACGGCTGATATACATTATTTACAAGAGCATATGAAAAATAATCCCAGAAATAGGAGATGTAAAGTAGCATTAAAAGAGAAAATTGATAAACGAAAAAAGTTCCTGAAGAAACTTCGTTCTTGGGATTACAAACGTTTTGAATGGATTTTAGAGAAATTGAATCTTGTCTACAAGCCTCAACCTGAGTAAGTATTATTTATTTTCAATAAAAAAAAATATTCGATAAAATTCAATTTTTTACGAATCATTTTTTCATTTAGCCGTTAAAAATTTTTTTCTCTAAACAAATTTTTATAAAATTTTTTTATAAAATTTTTTCTTCTAAAGAATTTTTATTTAACAATATTTTCAAGTAATTTTACTAAAAATTGTTTGATTATAAAAACCTTCTTACATGTTTTTTGATTTCTTCTTTTAGAAAACACATGTTCGTGACTAGAAAAGGTTCCATAAGATTATTGTTGCAAATGCATTGCAATGAAATTAGACAAGAGAAGAGAAATGCTTATAGGGTGGAATTAGAATCACAACAAAAGGGTTTCTTCGAAAAGAAGGCGAAACAGCTTGCCTTTATCAGAGAGGAAGAAATATTTTGTGGCCTCGAACCAACAATTACTGAAGAAGATATTGAAAATGCAAAGAAAAAAGCTGCTTCGTTATAACAAATTTATTAGGTTTTTTTTTTTTTTGAATTATTTTTACTATTGTAATTAATGTACAAATTATATATATATATAACTAAATGAATTTACCCTACTATAGAAGAAATACATATTTGATATTTCGTTCGAAATTATTTAGTCAAATTTTATTTCGATAATTTTTAATTTTAGTAAACAATTTCTTTAAATTTTTATAGTATTTTTATAGTAATTGTACAATTCCTTTTTTTCGATTTTTTACGAATATAATATTTTTATCATTACTTGAATAAACTTCATAAGTGATAAAAATTACGGTTAGTCGTAAGAATTTTTTTAAATTTCTTTTACTTCAATTATTTCTAATATCTATCAGTACTATTTGAAATAGTTTCTGATAAATTATTATATTTTCTTATCTATTTATTTATTATTTATTATATTTATTGTTTTTATTATTATTTTGTTATTATTATTATTATTACAATAGTAATAACGATTTTTAAATTTTGAAAAATTTTCAAAATCGTTCAAAAACTGATTTTTTTTTTTTATATAATTTAGTTGGAAACTGATAAATTTTACGAATTTAAACGAAAATCAATATTTTAAAATTTTCTGTAAAAAAAAATTGACGAAATTTAAATTTTTCATTTTTTTTTAAATCATTCAAAAACTGAATTTTTGAGTATAATTTTGCTTGAAAATTGAAAAAAAGTAAAGAATTTAGTCGAAATTCATGATTTTGAAATTTTCCTGTAGAAAAAAAGAACAAAAAAGTCGACGATTTTTAAATATAGAAAATTTTTAAAATCGTTCAAAAACTGAATTTTTGATTATAATTTTTATTTTTAAAATGAAAAAAATAACGAATTTACTCGAAATTTAAAATTGCGAAAATTTTTTACAAAGAAAAATTCAAAAAATTGACGATTTTCACGATTTTGAAATTTTCTATGGAAATCGTTCAAAAACTGATTTTTTTGCATATAATTTAGTTTGAAATATATTAAAAATTGACGAATTTAATAGAAATTAAAAGCTTCTCGTCCTTAAAAATAAAAATTGATTAAAACTGAATGTTTTTTAATGAAAAATCATCTTTTGTTCACAATACTCTTATACTATAAAAATTTCAATTTTTCATTTACTTTTATATTTTAAATTTCACTTTAAACCAAACGCAAAAATTTCCGCATTAATGTATAAAAATTTCTTACAACATTTATTTATCTACTTATTATTTTTTTTTTTTATAAAATTCATAAAATCGGTGATAATACTGAATATAAATAAATTAAAATAATTATTAGATATATTAATATACACAATCAAAATTAACTCATTTTATATGAAATATTTTTCTTTTACAATTTTCACCTCTTTTTATCACTTTATTTTCTCTTTTTTTCATTAGATCATTTATGATAAAAAAAATAATTATTTTCTCTTTTTTTCATTAGATTATTTATGATAAAAAAAATAATTATTTTCTCTTTTTTTTCATTAGATCATTTATGATAAAAAAACATTATTTTCTCTTTTCTTCATTTGATCATTTATGATAAAAAAAGAATTATTTCTTTATAAAAAAAAAAAAAATTTAGAAAAAAGAGATAAAATATGAAACGTTTCGTAGAAAATGGGTTAATTATTTTTCGAATAAATTACAATTAACAATATAAATCGTAAATATATATATATAATAAGATTAACACTATCTATAATTATCTATTTCTTGATCTTTTATTATTGTTCTTTTTGGCATTATTTCCTGGTCGCACTTTATTTGTGTCTTTACTGTTGGTGAGATTATCCTTCGCTGGAACAATAACATTATCTAAACTGCCATTTGTCACTGGTCCATTTGAAAATTGTGTATTGGCATCTAAACTACAGAGAGTTCCATTTTGTGAGTAGTTACTTGAACCGGAAGTATGATTTTTACCACTTGTTTCTTTACTGTTACCAGAAATTACATTTGAATTAGTAAAATTGCAATTATCCTCACTGCCACTATTGCCAATTTGTGATTCCGATTCACTGTAACGTTCAACTGTAATTTAAAATATTCAATTAGTTGAAGGCTTAAAAAAAACATTGTTAAATCATTTAAAATTGTACTTTTTTTTATTGTTTGTAAAAAATTATTTATTTTCTAAAGTATTTAGAGGGCTGTTTGGGGTAAATTAATTTTATTTGTAATCAGACTCTTAAAACTCCCTTGGGGAGATGATTTTTGTTGAAATTAAACAACTTTTAATATATTCAGTCCGCCATATTGGATCCGCTATTTTGAATTTTAAAAATCAGACTTTAGACCCCAAAAAATACCCTAAGTGATGATTTTTGTTGAAATTAAGTAATTATACCTTTTTTATGAAAACTAACACTTTGAATTAAGTTTTATTGTTCAAAATATATAAAAAAAATTATTTTCTTTTTTTGTAAAATAGTTATTGCATCAATTTTTTAACTGAATATTTTTTATTGAAAATCGATTTTGAGGAAAAAGGTGCGCCTTAATTAGAGCACCAACGTTCTAATTATACAATCACACTGTTCCTGATTGATTTTCGTTCTGATTTGCATTTATCTACGCAACTCTGCTTAAATTAGAGCAGCACGTTTACAAATTGGGTTCATTTGTAACAAATTTAACAAATGATTTAACAAAAATTTAACTTTAAATATTTATCCTTTGTTCAATAATTATTTTCAGACTTTTTACATTTATCCGCATTAACTTTTAGAAGTTTAGGATAAATGTTCACTTTTACCCCGAATCTTAGGGGGTGAATGTGTAAACTCGGGGGTAATTGGAAACAAAATCTTTAGAAGTAAGAAGTCATTTATTTTTTAATATCTCTTGAAATTCTTCTTATGCTCTACTGTTTTGGATTAACAATTTGTGTAATTTAAAAAATTAAACAAATCTTAAGAGTCTATTTTTGCGCTATTTTTTAATGGCTTTTAGTGTTCTGAAAACAAAAAAAATTTTAAGTAAATATTCATTTAGAAAATAAATAACTTTCTTGTTGTATAATAAAAAAGAGAAGCGTTTCACATAATTACTGGGGCGGTAGCATAAAAAGGAGAAGTGTTACATGCATTAAATAATAGATAAGATACAAAAGTTGCTACTTGGAAAAAAATTAAAAATTTGCATAGATTGTGCGTTATGTGCGATGGAGTATCAAGTTATAAGAGTCCTTTGTTTTTTTTAATTTTAGTATTTTTAATTTTACTATTTTTTAATATTACTTTTTTTAATTTTACTATTTTTAAATTATCATAATTAGTTAGATTCTCTATCACTTACCTTTAATTCACTCAAAAATTTTCTCCTAAAATTACAAACTAAAATTTACCGACAATATAAAAAAAATCGAGTCAAAAAAATTAAATCGATATTTTCTTTCTTTCAATTGAACAATATAATATTTTTAATTAATTAATATAGAAAATTTTCTATTAATTAGCGAAAATTTTATTCTTCAAGGTTTAATTTCATAATTAAAACTTATAAGTTTTTTGAAAAAATTCCCATATAAACAAAACAAATTTTATTTTTTAGTGACTGCAAGGAAAATTTGAAATTTTTTTTATACTTTCCTTGAAGTTACATTATTATTTTAATATATTTCTGAAAAATTGAAGAAAAATAGAACAAATCTAAAATATTAGTTTTGTATTTAAAAAACTTTAATTATTTATTATTAATGTTATTAATTATTAATAGAGAAAAGATTTTTTTTCATTAATTTAATTTTATTAATTTTCCATTAAATATTAATTACTTATTAATTATTTACAGTAATTAAAATACTGTATAGTTTCAAGTACATTGTACTCTCGTTCAATACAATAATTCTATCAATATTTGGACAAGAAAGATTAAATAAACAACAAAGTATAACAAACATCAACAATGTGTATTTGAATAGTGCAAATCATATCAAGTAAAATATATTATGTGTAATACAAATAATAAAAAAATAAATCTAGAGCAATCGATCTACAAAAGCAATGGCAAATTGTGTAATTTTATAAAAATATAATTTTTTTCTTTAATTATAATTATTTTTAAGACTCGATTAAAATGATCTTAAAAATTGTCCTCTGAACAGTTTTATTTTCTATTTTAAGTTTAAATATATTTAAAGTTTACGTAAAAATATTTAAAGTTTAAATTTTAAAAATTTAAGTAAAAATATCCAAAGTTAAAATTTTAAAAATTTAAGTTAAAATATTTAAAGTTTAAATTTTAAAAATTTAAGTAAAAATATCCAAAGTTAAAATTTTTAAAATTTAAGTAAAAATATTTAAAGTTTGAATTTAAAAAATTTAAAAATCTTTATTTTTTTTTAATATATGAAAAAAATGGAATAAATCCAAAATATTTTTTATAAAAATACGAGATTAATTTTTAAAGAATCGAAATTTTAAACACGAAGAAAATAACTCAGTAAACCTGTAAATTTCTATCGAGAGTAATTATTTATTTAAAACGAAACCCGTTACAGTTTATAGCTAATAAAAAAAAAACAATACTGACTTAAGGTTTCGTATGAAAATTCTATTTACATATTTTTTTTATAAACACCTCAAAATGAACTTCACAGTGACAATACTGGACTGACAATTTCGTTTACTTTTTAAACAAGGAGAAATTACGCAAACAAAATTTTACAACATTTTACAAGAGGAAAAAAAACTATTATTTAATATCTAAAAAAATTAAAGTTTCGTCATGCAAAAAATTCGTCTACATGACTGTGAAATTCGAATTTATTTTTTTTTATTTTAATTGCACTGATACTAGAAACTGTTTACAAACATAAAAATTACAACTAGTAAAAATTCATTACAAACAAAATGCATAAAAAGCAAAATAGGGTCAATTGAAGGTATCGTGGTATTTAGAAAAATCTATTTGGCTTTTCCTTTGAAGAAAATAGGGAAATTTTAATCAAAATTTAAAATTATTTTCACGAACTTTACATTTTATTTTATAGAAAAATCTTTTTTAAATTTAAAATTAGGAATACATAAGAAATATATTTTACAGAATTAATAAATATTGGTTTTCGGAAATGGTGGTTTAAAAATTAGTTTGTAATTGCTTTTTTTTGTCATTTATATTAAAGTATAACCACAATTACCTCGATGGACCCTAAACCAAAATTCTCAACAATAACTTTCTTACTGAATTTATAAACATCAATAATCAATATAATTATGAATATCCATTCATGTCCTTACTTTTTTCTTGCGTTGTATCCACTAAACCACTAACAGCCTGTAACAGAAGAAAAAATAAAATTTTTGATTTGTTTTTACAGAAAATTTTTAGTATTTTTTGCATAATTTCTATTCAGTACAATTTAAAAAAAAATGGAAATATTAATTTTTTTTAATAAGTATCACTTACTGCCATAGAAGTAATTGAAGATTTCGAGAACAATCTCTCAGCTTCTTTAAATTTTCTATTTCTTTTGTCTGCTTTACTGTTTGTATTTTTATTGCTCGCTAAATATCTGTCCCATCCTCGAATTATATTGCCATATAATTGTGTATCCTCCAAGTAACTGCCTTCGAAAGCGTATATTTGTCTTTCTAAATTTGCTAAAGTATCCTGCGAAGAATAAAAATGTATAAGTTTTTAAATATATACATTTTTTTATATTAAATATATTTTTTTTATTTTTTTTTTAAATTGTAATTAAAATGTTTTCAAAAGATAATTGAATTCCCGTATTTTTAAAAAAAAAAAAAAAATTAAATTATTTCCAATTATTCCGAAATATTGTCAAATTTAATTGAAAAGAAATTGTACCTTAAAAAAAATTTTTTTCTCTACATTGAAAAATTATTTTTTAAACCTAATCGTATTTTTGTAGAATTTAAAATTAAAATTTAGAAAATTATTCACAATGTCATTCAAAGGTACAAAAACAATTGAAAATAAGAATAAGAAACAGTTGATAAGAATAAGGAATAATGTTATTTAATTAAGATTTAGATTTTATTTTTTTATATATTATATTAAATAAAAATTAAAGTTATAAATAATAATGTATAAAATCATAAATTAGGTTTAACAAAAAACAAACTATTCTGAAAAGTCGAAAAATTTCATTGTTGCCAAAAATTATAGGTTAGGTTGACGAATTCATTTCTGCGTCTGATTGCAGTTAAAATATTTTAAATTTTCTCTCAAGACACTTATGAAAGTGATTATTTTGCTTTGGTTTAAACATTTTTTACATTATTTTCGCAAAAAATTTAACAAATTTAATCAAAATATTAAAGAATCATATTTTTTTTTTGAAAAAAATTGTATACAATGACAATTATCGTAATTTGATAGTTTCTACTATTTGTAAATATAAAAAATTTGGAATAGTTTAAAGAGGTTAAATTTAATAAATTTACGAATAAGTTGCAATCAATTAAAATACGACGTAAAGAAGAAATGCGTTATTAATGTTTTATTCATAAACAAAATTGACGGTTTTAGAAGCAGGTGTTGTTTGACACAAAAGAGAAAATTGACGGTAAGGGAATAAATTATAAATCTCTCTATGTTTTTTGAAAAATGGTAATAAATAAATAATGTGATTTAATAAAGAAAAAATATAGAAACAATTATTTGCTTTAAGGAAAACTTACAGCAATTTCTGCTTTTCTTTTGACAAGTTCAGCTAATTCTGCTCGTAGATCGACAGTTGGCTTTGAAGACATTTTTTAGCTTTTCTATTATAATGTTCATTAATATCTAAACAAACACATCAAGTTGAGATAAAAAATTTACTGCTTGTTATAAAGTCATAAATTACATTTTTATTTATTGACACTGAAAAAGGTGGAAATGTTTTGTTTTATTATATCAGAAAATTTAGAACAGATGAGAATCTAAAACATTGACAGCAACAGACTTGGGTAAATAAAATATTGCTATTAATTTAGGGTTGTGAATCATACTTTAACATTATGTGAAAAAAGTTGTTTGCTGTTTCACTACATCGAGATATTTCAAGTTCGAGTATGACGTCAGGTAGCTGAAGGGAAAGCAAACAGACGACACAAAGCAATTTTTATGGTTAAATGCGGGAGAAAAAATACAATCCTTCCTCTATGAGGAAGCAATTTTGAAATTTCTTTTCAATGCTTTGCAGATTTAATGGATTTTAAACACTTTCTATCTACATATATGTGAAAAGTGGTAGCTTTTCTTAATGTATATAATTATACAGTAAGAGTATCTGACTATGAATCACCCCTAAGCGTGAGTGCGAGTGAATATCTGTATAAATTCACATATATCACATTTATTAAAACATTTTTTCTTTATCTAATAGATATTCATTAAAAATTTAATTATCAGTCTTCTTAATTTTTAAATACTCACCTACTGCCAATTACTGCTATATACATTCACTAATAAATAACGAAATAACAAACATAACGGTCACAGCTCTGCGCATGCCGGTTGCCATGGAAACGTACAAAAGTGAGGAAACTGTTTTTATCTCTCTCACTCTCGTTCGTTGACATGGCAAACCTGCATGCATGAGCCTTGCTCAACTTGTAACCGTACCTTTATTACAGAAGTTTCACGAGTTTCACATTTCGGATCTTCTACCCCAAACACATAGTTGCCATGCCTTATATATAACTGCACAACCTTTTCGATTTTCTTTGTTTCTCATTCGTCTGTTTTGCTTCTTTGTACCACGTTTCGGCTAGGCAAATATAGTCTATTTAGTAGATTAGTTCTGAGAATTTTTATTGTTAGGACTTAGTAGTAGAATACTAATATAAAATTAGTATAATTCAGCTTTTCTTATTAATAGAACTTTTTCTTTAATTTTTCTTTTTCAAACCAAAGTAACGAATAATTCCACTTTGTAAAAATGATGGATACAACTTACTTGAGAGGTGATACTGTCGTACAATGTCCGTATGATAGCAATCATAAAGTAACAAGATCCAGACTTCAAATGCATCTTGTTAAATGTGAAAAGGTAGGTATATTAATGTTTAAAAACAATAACTTTACAAAATGGATTTTAAATTCGCTACTTTTAAAGACGTTATTTTACAATAAGTTTCTATAAAATTCGAAAATTCCGTAAACTTTAATTAATCTACAGAAAATTTTTTTTTTAAGTGTGCGATGTATTGTCTCCCCCCCTCTATCTTATGTTCGTTATACTATTTTTTTGAGTGGTGGGGATGGAGTTAACCCACCATTTGTGATTTCTATAATTGAGGAGCAAGTTTTCAAAAGTTGATAAATTACCATTGTTGAAAAAAATCGAGATAAAGATAAATTTAATAATTTAAGGACCTCACAAATCGACCTGTTACTGTTAAATTTAAGAAAATAAATTTATTAACAAATTTTCAATTTAAAAACTTTTACATAACCAAGATGACTTATATTTTTGTTTTTTTTATTAGAAAAAAATTACCAAAACCTTTAAACCACTTAATTATGGTAAAGTTTAATTAAAAACAGATCGTTTTAAATATAAAAACATTGTTGTAGAAATAAATTGCGACGCGCTTCCAAGTGCTTCCAAGAAAGGTACTTACTAAGAAGCAAACGAATTATAGGTTATGTTCGTGTTAGATTTATCTTGATTAAAAGTTTATTTTTAATTATTTTAATTTGAAACTAATTTTCATTGAATATTTTCGATATAATAAAGACTTGAGAATCAATAATTTTTAATTAATAATTGATTCTCTTTCTGTATTTTTACCATTTTTCCTTTGTGATTTTCACTCAAAAAATTAAAAACATCAAATTTTTTGCTTCTTAGATATACCTTTCTTCAGAGCATAAATTTTATTTTAAAAAAATAAAAAAATTTGGAAAATTAAAGAAGTTTTTATATTTTTCTAAATTTTAAAGATTTTTTTTTGGTACCATGGCTCCCATTTTGGTATTTTTTGGATATTAAAAAAAATTTTGTCTATACCTATCTTAATATAAAATTAAATAAATACTTATCGTTGGTATTTTTTAATATAACTTTTAATTTAGTTCAGAGAGATTTATAGATTTTTACACTGTTTTAAAATAATCTTATTCCATTTCACGGAAAATGCGGTTACTAGGTTTTTATTTTGAACAGCAGATTTTTTTTACCTTTAAAAAGTATAATAATTTTATTATTATTAGTTAATTTATCAAATTTTTATATAAAAAATACTAAAATTAAAAAAAAAACTTATGTGAAATTTAGTAAAGTTATATAAAAGTTTAATAATCTTCTTTATATTTGATATAATTTTATTAAATTTCAATTTAGTTTTTTTAAATTTTAGTATTTTTTATATCATAATTTCGCTTTGTCGCACTTTTTCCCCAATTTTTAAAATACTTTTACAAAATTTAATATATATTCTCTCTCCGTGTAATTATTATTATTATAATAACTAGTTATTATTTATATACGACTGGCTTCTATTATAAAATTATTGTGTCCTTTTCATCATAGAACTTTCCAGAAGACTTTAGACGCATTTGTCCTTACAATGCCACTCATCGTTTGCCGAAAGCGGAAATGCTGGCACATGTCAACGATTGTCCTGCTCGACAATTTGCGCAACCCGAATTGTATCACAGTAAGTTTACGCATAATTTATTACCAGGGTGATCAACGAACCCTGAAGCCTTGAAAACCGGGAAACAGACCTGAATATAGTTACAAGGCCTACGCATAGAATTAAACTTCTATATATTTTAATTTTTTTTCTCAAGTAAAAGTTAATATCTAATTTAAAAGTTGCCATCTTAGGCCTATATATTAAAAAAATTCTAAATTCATTGATTAATTTTGTATACCTCAATTTTAATTTTTTAAGATTCATAATTCTTTTCAATTTGTATAAATTGAAAGTGATCCAGGCCCTTAATTTAAAAAAAATAAAAAGTTCCTTTTTAACTATTTATGATGGAACATTTTGTTAAAGTAATTAAGAAATGGTTTAATTGAAGGGCTACATAAAATAAGGGGACGAACGCGAGGCTTGGAAGGGATACTACCAGTCGGGTAGCAGTGACAAGCCTTGAGCCGCTCGCTGCTACCTGACTGATATTATTCCTTTCAACCACGCGTTCGTCCCCTTATTTTATGTAGCCCTTCAATTGTTGAACGAAAAATTAAAACAATAAAAAATTTTTGCAGCATATCGTAATTTTGGCTCTATCAAATCCTTACCCCCATCTGAAATAGACATCGATGAATGTTGGGAAGAAGATGACCGAACAATTTCCGAAGTTGAATCGAACGCCTGTTTTAATAATTCTACTTCATTTGTCAGCAAATATGAAAGGTTTTTATCTTAGTCTATTAATATATGTGGTCGTGCTCTAAAAAAAGGTTCCCTAAAACGCAAATCATTTTAAGGTTATGTTTGCCCTTGTTTTTATCTTAATTATAAGTTTGTGTTTAATTTTAAAACTAAAAACCGTTTTTATTAGATATTTTAGAAGCATAACGAAGAATTGAACCAGTGGTTTACAATGGGAGTTGATCCCTTTTGTGTATTTTCATTTCTGAAAATTAGAAATATAACCTAAAATTTTTTTGCTTCTTAGGTACCTTTCTTCAGAGTACGTCACATGTAACATATTGAAAATTTATATTTTGATAACCCCGTAGAGTAAAGTACTTATTTAAATGATTCACTTACTTAACAATTTCATATAAAATTTAATGTATATTAAATGTGTAAAATTCATATAAAATTTAATGTGTATTAAATTTATAAAATTCATATAAAATTTAATATATATTAAATATATAAAAAATTATAATAAACGCCTTTCTTGCTGTATAGATTTGATGATCTACCTTTGAGAGGACCTAAGGGACAAGCTGAAGTAGACATGCTGGATTCCTCAATAGGAAGTTCAGCGCTCGATGAGATGGGTTCTGTTATTAGTGCCGATGGAATGGGACGCGGTTCAGCCAAATTTAATAGAGAAAAGTTTCTTCAACAAATTGGCCGTGGCAGAGGAAAGCCAATTCAGTTTTAATTCAGATTAAAACAAAACGAAAAGAGAAAAAAAAATTGAAAATTAGATTTAAAAAAAATTATATACTGAGACATATTTTTCTGAATTATTATTTTGTTGTTAATATACATTAAATGTATATGAGTATAAAAAAATTTATATTTTTGATAGTTACGTAAGTTTTTTCTTTGACTTAAAAAAATTTTTTATTTCTTTGATCCTCAAAAGAGTTTAACAACAAGAAATGTTAGTTTTCTACTTTTTCTACGACATGTATTTGTAGACAAATAAATTTAAAATTCATTATGTTGTCGAAAATATTTATTACACCTTAATGAACATTTTTCTCACTGGAAGTTTTTGATTACTGAATATTTTTCAGATGAAAAGAAAGTAACTTTTTTCAAATAAAATATTTTACATTTATTTAAAGTTCGTTTTCTTAAGGATAGTTTAAACTTTATTTTCTGTGAATTTCATGAAATTAATATTTTTCTGTTTTAGAGCGAATTGAAGTAAAAACTTTAATTAAACTTGTGTTTCCAAAAAATCCACTTTTTTGCATTTTTTTCGAAAATGGTAAGAGATATAAATTTTTTTTTTATAGAAGGAAAAAGTTAGTTTTCAATTTCTAATAAAATAGTGATTTTTAAATTAATTTTTTAAAAATTGGTAATTAATATTAAAATATTAAAATTATACTTAATAAAAGTTCGCGAATATAGTTATTAAAATAAATAATTTGCCTCAATAACGTTTATCAAAATTTACAATTCGATAATAGAACATTAATCCTAGAGCTAAATCGTGAGAATGAGTCAGAGAAGGATAGAGATATTACGTCCGTCCTTCATTTACACATTCTCCATGGTGCTCTGAAGTGAATTTAAATAAAATTTTGAGGTAACTCAAATTTTCCAGTTGTTTTTTGTTTCTAGGTGCGGTATTAGAAGAAAAATAAACGTTACATGGAAAAAATTCACTTATTTTGGCGCTTTTTTTGCCAGCGAAAATAAGATTTTTGTAGATAATTCGTGAATAAAACTGGTAACGTGTTTGCGTTACGTTGCGTTCCGGTTCAAGAATCCGTTCTGCATTGGCATTGAGAAATGAGTACGTAGAGGGGGATAAATCACGAGTCAGGTTAGGTTAGCTATAGTTTGTTTTGTTGTCCGGTTTTACCTTGAAAATTAGTTTACAAAATCTTCTATTTTCAATAATTCAAAGGGGCAGTGCTTTTTAACGGTTTGTTGCTTTTTTGCAGCACATAATCACAGTCAAGATGGAACCAAACGAAAATGACTTTAGTACCGTAAGTAATTTTTTACAATAACATTTAGAAATTAAGATTTGCTTTTAAAACTGAACCTGTATACATACTACTTTTATAAAAAATATCAAAATAAATACACTTCAGGGCTGGGCAATATTGCATCTAGTTTTTGATATAAAATCTGGTGGATTTTAAAACTGATGAAATGATTCTCTTCATGTATGTGTCTGTTCTGTATATACAAACTATAGCTATGTTACTATAAAAGAGATTATTTTTAAGAGTGTGCGGTTTACGACTCTGTGTGAGCTTTTGTTTGTAAACAAAATTGATAATATTGTTGCTTTAATATTTTTGATATGTACAAAAATGTTTATTGTGTTGCGAAATATTTGTTAAAGTGTCACTATGGCTGGGGAATTTTTATGTTTCTCATCTCTATGAAACCATGAAAAAACCACTATACGTAAGTATAAATATATATTTTCGTTCTTTATACATAACACTTTTTTTTAGATATGATTTACTCGGGAGAAGGATTTTTCTTTTCAATGATTAGAACATATTTTATACAACAACAAAAATAGTATAAATGGTTTTTTAATCAAAAATCATTAATTTAATCTAAAAAATCAAAAATTCAATTTTTTAAAAATCTTTCGTTCACCCCCGAGAAAATGTACTCTAATAACAAAATCTTTTTCGTTTTTTGATTTCAGATGATCCTGGCATCCTGTTATTAACGTGTCCACGCAAATGATCGATATTTTAAACCCATATAAAATAAATGTTTATAACTAAAAAATTTATTAATATTTTGTAATAAAAAAATAAAAGAATATTTTTGAAAACATTATAAATAATATGCAAAACTTTTTGAATAAATATATTGAATCATTCAAAAGAAAATAAATCAAGAAAAAGCGTTTTTTCTTGGCCTCATGACTGTATATATGGTCACCTTAAGGGGATGTTACTGTTCTCAATGATGAAAAATGCATGAAGTTGGGGAATTTTTTTTTTCATATGCGGAAATATTAAAAATAAATCAAGAAACTTAATCTTCATACTAAACTTTTTAAAAATGGAAAATTAGCTTATTAATTAATATAGCCCATTCAAATTCTGAATTTTTTTCTATTCCTACGTTGTTACCGGGTACATATCGCAGTATATCATATGAAAGTAGGGTTACTAGCATTGATATCATGAAACACTATGTAAAGCACAATTTATTATTTTTTCTAAATCTGACAAGGTACATCAGACAATTCCTTCTTTTTTAAAATACAACCCGAGTCAAATTTTTGATCCTCTTTTAAACCTTTTTTAATACTGTTTTATGTACATTTTTTTAATTTTATATTTTCGAAGCCTCTTTTCAAAAGAGTATATACTTTCATAGTTTTTTTATTTTGAGGATTTGGTTCTAAAAGTAATTCAGAATTTCTGTTCTTATCTAAGTATAATTATCTTCCTTTTACTGTGCTGAAGATAGTACACTTAAGTATGAAAATGATGTTTTAATAACCTAAAAATTTATATTTTTTTAAATACTTGTGATACTTGTGATACTTGTAAATGTATAATTACATTATATTTTATAAAAGTTTCGAATTTTGAATTTATATTTAATGTTTCAAATATAATGTAAAAGAATACTTAAATTAATTTTTATTTAAAAAATGTTATTATTGCTATTAGTAACTACTTACTGCACTAAAGTTCTTTGTTGAAATTACATAAACCTTTCCAGCAGATACTTTACATTCTCGAGTCGCCCTTAATAGCATAAATAATAAAAGTTTTCGAGATTTAATCGTCATATTAGTCCAATTAGTGTCATAACTAAATAATTAATGTCATTATGCAAACAGTTAATAGTTGTATTAATGTTATTTTAAATATTTCCTTAAATCCTTTAAGGACAGGAAAGGACAATATAACGAATGTAATGAATTTCGAGCCAAATTCGATTTTTTAAAAATTCATCCGTTATTTTGAATTTTAAAAAACGGACCTGTTCTTTTTGTTTTTAAGGAGTTGAGAACTATACTTTTCTTTTAAGATTTGTAATGAGAAAAAGAAGAAGAAGAAGATTTGTAACTCCTTACCAATATTGACTGACTTTAGAACTTTCATCAATTAACAATTGCCCAGGAATGGAGTTGAAGTATAAATGTATAATTTGCCCCATAAAAAATGCGCCAAATCTCATAAGGATTTGTGGATTATCTAAGTTTAATACAATCTGTAAAAAATTGACATTATCTTGATGGAAGAATTTTTAATGTTTTTAGTTATAATTACCTGTACTCCTTGAAAACTAATCATTAGCATGTTAATACCAATGATGCAAAAAAACATACTAGAAAAGCTGAGCTCAATATTATCCGTAAATCTGTATTAAAAAAACGAATCTGTTATTTTAAGTGTATATGAAACATAATTGGAATAATGTTAGTTTTTGAATTCTGTATCTTATGCACCTCAAGCGCATTCAAATTAGATACTACTACAGCGTTTATCGAATAAATATTTTTTATTTATAACTATATTTTTTTAACTATATTCTTTTAATTGAAGTGATTTTAGGACTATTAACAAATGCTTGCAAATACTAACTTAAGTATATTATTGTATAGTTCTATACAACTGACCATCCTTTTGTTAATGTTCCTTTCTTCAATGCTACCACGCTTGGAAACACAATTTTTGTCCGAAATATTTGATAGTCTATAACTGAAAGTAATTTAAATGTTTAATAAAATATTTTTAATTTGATCAGCAATTCAAAATAAAGTAGATTAAAAATATTCGAAAGAATTCATCTTTTAATCCGTGTATATATAATGATTTAAAGAAATCTAAAAATTAAAATTTTAGCTTACCCTAATAGTTGAAATATTCCACAAGCATGTTGAACACTGGCAAGAAAGATAAAATCTACAGCAACTATATTTGTTAATGTTATAAATGCTGCAAGTACTGAATGTAGGTATATGAAATTATAGTAATTATCATTTTCAATAAAAACGTAGTTGACATGAAAAACATAAGTTCTTTCTCTTGATTCATTGAGAGGTAAAATTATGTCAAGTATCTGTGGTAGAAGCGGAGTCATCACGTAGACAAGTGTACTCACATAAGAGTAAACTAAAATTTATATAAAAATTGTATTTATGACACACCGAAAAAGTTTTTGAACTATTCTACACTAGTGCTTACTAAGAATAAACTGTTAGGTCATTTTTGATTTATTTTATAATTTTTTAGAGTTATTTTTTTATGTCAAGGTGTCTGTTTATATACATATTCATAGTTTGAAAATAATAAAATTAGTTACACTACATATAAAAATTATTGTTAAATTTTTTCCTTGTTGGGTAGTTTTCTCTATAATTTCTAGCTCCGATTTACAAGATTTAATTGAATCCCAGTCCCGCTTCATGCTGTCAGTTAAAAATTTTATCTAAACAAAAATATTTATAAGTAAAACGTGTTTTTTTTGGCATAATCTCATTACAATTGCAGTTTCCTTTCGACATGTCGTGAATACGATTTAACACCAAAACATAAACACTAGTGACCGGGAAATTTTTTTAATTAATAAAATAATAAAAACCTACCTTCGACAAGTTTAAGCTACAAAAAGTAGCATAACAGTAGCTGAGAAATACTGCAAATAATGGAGGAATGCATTCTACAAAAATAGTAGATTCATTTCGTACATCATACAAAGCTATTAACTATAAAACAACGTTACGTATTAACTATTTCATTATAAGACATAATAAATAATAATGTTGCATAATGATATGCTTTTTGTTAGGACACTTTCATCCAAACCTTAATTATTATTATTTTAATTTTAAAAATTGTCCCTTAAATTCAAATACTTACGCCTGGAATTAGAATAAATGTACATAAACCGTGGCTAAGTACACGAATTAAGATTCTTTCTGCTGGTAATTGATAGGGCCATTGTCCAATAATAGATAAAAAAAATTTATTCACGTTTAAATAGTTATCTAATCCACTAGATTTGACCATGCTCTATCAAAAATTTTAATTTATAGTCATATTTGTATTTAATTTAAAAAATCCAAAAAATTGTAGAGTACATAAAAATAAATCTAACTTGTTTTAAAGGAATTGTTGATTTTTGACGCCAAAAAATACTCATTATTTATAGTTGTTTTCACATTCTAAGAGTGACTTTGTCTCTAGGTTTTAAAACATTGTATGATTTCAAAATAATACGTAAAATTGATATGTACAATAAAAAGTAACTATACTGATTCTTAGTTAACATTGACATAATTTAAAGAATACATGACATAATTTATATCAAACTTTATATACAAAAAATAAATGCTTTGTCTGTATCTGCTGCAATATAAAATGCAGAAGAAATTGCTCTTTGGAAAATAATATTATTGATTACTCGATACATTTAATGGATTGCCAAGAACTATAGAATATTAAATTGAGTTACAATGAATTTTAAGTCAGTGGGTGACATATATGCATTAAACGTGTCATTTAAGCTTAATTTATTCATCCACCCTCTATGTCTATTATCTTACAATATTTGCAGTAGTAGAGTCTGGAACTACTTAGTCTGCAAAAGATTTCTTTGTCAATCGTTGTTCTTATCAACTAACATCTAGAATGTTAAATGTTAAAGACATAAAATTGTAAATGAAACGAAAGTATTTAATGCGAAAACTTCCAAAATATGATCTGACTTTATGAACTTTTAAGAAATAGTAACTATTAAATTAAGAATTGTCTATTTCTTAAATTTATAAATATGAGAAAGAGGAAGAAAAAAAGTAAGGTAATTCTTATTCGATTATTTCTTTATATCATTTTCTTAATATTCGCGTTCATCAGAAGAGTTTAGGTAAATTTGTATTTGTAAAACAAATAGGATCGAATCGTGAATAAAATATATCATTTTAACTGTAAATATGAAAAGAAGTGTTCATTACTCATAGTTTTTTAATAAAAAATTTGTTTGTTTAATTAATGCTCTATGCACTTCAAGGTAATAAATATATTTTTCAAAAAAAAATTTTTACCGAAGAATGTAAAACCTACATGGGTAACTACTCCAGTCGTTGGCACCCTTAAGGTCAAATTTTGACTTTAAAAATTATTTGCAGACTTATGCTATTATTATTTTATTTTAAATTTAATTTCAAATATTTTATAAATTTAGGTCCAAAATAAATAATAATTATAATAATAAATAAATATAATTAATTATTGATGTTAATTAATTTAAATTGTTTATTTTTATTTTATTGAAAACTAATAAATAATAGTAATTTTTAATTATTCATAATACTAATAAATCATAAAAAATTAATAAACTATTTATTTCTTTTTGTTTAAAAAATATTTCCTTTAAATAGTAAACTAAATTTTTTTAATAATTATAAAGGATACACTAGAAAAGACTATTTCCTTTTGTTCTAAAAGGAAATTCTTTTCAATAAATATTAAAAGGAAAATCCGCTTATGATAAAAGGATTCCTTTAAACATGAATAGATTGTTTTCTCAGTGTAGTCATGGAGACCTACCAGTTTCAAGTGGTTGGCACCCCATACATAACCTTTAAATTTCTTATGTCTCAAACAAGTAAATTAATTTTTTTTTTATTTTCTGATTAATCAAGAATAATTCATTATAATTTTGAGCAATAAACAAATACAAGAAAATATACTTATATATAATTCAATAATAAATGTATATATCATTTTTCAAAGAGAGTGAAATTATTGACTAGGCGTAAACATTGTTACATAACCTCACTTTTAATTGCGAAATGAGGGGTGTCAACGATTGGAGCTTGGTTAAAAATACTGCTTGTCCAGTCGTTGACACGTGTGTGCAAACGACTGGAACAATTGCTTTTTTAAATATTTTTATTGGCACCCCATTAAAATAAATGAATTAATAATTTTTAAGACAAGACGTGTTAAACTAATCAATATTTAAATATTCTACTAAAACATTTGCAAAGAAAAAAGCAATTTTACCCACTTCTAATAACAATAAATTAAGTTAAAAATTTCAGTTTTCTTAATATTTTCTTTAGAAAAACCGAAAATTTCCTAACACTTTGAGAATGATATTAATTGTACTTTTTTAATGCAACTATGTAATTACTTCTAATAAGTTATATACTATATTTTTGTAAAAAATGTTGGAAATTTTAATAATCATGTGCAAATCATGTTAGGGTGGAGTCCCATGGCAGCGTTTTGCGTTGCGTTTTGTAACTAGGCAATGAGTGTGAGAGAGATGGAGATATATGTTTGCTATATTTGCACTCATGGACTAGTTACAAAACGCAACGCAAAACGCTGCCATGGGACTCCACCCTCACCCTTAGAATTTTGCTATATCTTGTTATTTAAAAAAAACCTAAGAGGGTTGCCAACCACTAGCACAAACACGACTGGCATCATGGATATGTTCGGTAGACCTTGCCGTGGTGGCGGGGCTTTTCACTAAAGGGCAACCAAACAGCAAGAAAAAATGGATTCACAAAATTCAAAGAAGGTACCCCATGTGAGCAGGCCGGAAACGGGAAATGTCACCATCAGTCCCAGGACTGATGCTCAAGCGCGCACGGATTGTGGAGGCGCATAATTTCTTGCAGTGCCACGGGTGGTCGTGGAAAGGTTAAATACACAGAACATCGTAGAAAGAGAAAGGAGGAAGCGCTTCGAGTCTTCTGGATGTGTAAAGTTGCAGGAGCGAAAAAACCGCACATAACGCTGTCCACTCAGAAGTAGATGACGAGGCGATAAAAGAGACTCGCGAGATATGCTTGCGGCTCAGAAACGAGGAGCTAGTAGGCGACTTGTCTCGACAAAATGGAGTTGGAGGTTGCTGAGATGATGTGCGGAGTGTAACCACAAGGACCGTAAGAAAGAGAGAGAGAGAGAGAGAGAGTTCCTATAGGCGTAATCTCAAAAGCGTCATAAGAGATGCTCAGAAGCGGAAAAGAGAGGGTGACAGTCCAGGGGAGACTCGAACCCAAACCGATAAGAGGAAAAAGGGGGAAGCTCCTCCAATGGAAACGGAAGTACCAGATCTAAAGATTCCTCAAATGAAAAGAATGGGGTCAAAAAGATCCGCAGTTCTAATCCGAGTCGGTCAAGGATTAACGTATGCTGACGTTCTGGGTAAACTTCGCAAAGAGGTCAACCCGGACGACTGCCATACGAGAATAGTAGCAGCAAAAGCTACAACGAAGGGAGACCTTCTGATGAAGATCAGAGGAGACTCCGACAAGGACGCTTTCTCCGCTAAGGTCACCCAGCCGGTTGGAAGCATGGGTAAGGTGCAGTCGTTGGATTTTGAAGAGTTACACTCGAGATCCGTGATTTGGATTGCCTTACCCAAGAAGCCGAGGTGCAACAAGTGTTGTCCGAAGCGATGGGAAAGCCAGGAAGCAGGATAGTGATGGTCTTAGGACCCAAACGCTGAGAGATGAAGCTCGCGGTTGTAGTCACCAACCCTGAAAAGACGAACAGGCTGGAGAAATTGGGACACGTTAAAATTGGTTTCATGTGTTGCCCAATTAAAAAAAGAGTAATGCTCGTCCAGTATCTTCGATGCTTGGGATACGGTCATATTGGACCAAATAATCACCTTATAAATTCTGTTTAACATTATTTATTAGAAAAATAATACTGCCATCTGGCTTACACTCAACTATAAGATTATGTTCTCTTCTCGACGTGTTACAACTAGAAAGAATGACATTCATACCTCGATGATCACAATTAGTCCTCCTCATGAAGGGAAAAGAGGGGAAACCTAAGGGCCAATTCTATGGCAAGCGCAGCGAACATTAAGCTGCCGCCACAACAGAACTAAATTCGCGTTGTTTCAATAAAAGCAACTACTGGTAATTGTAAACGAGGTGTGAAAAAAGAGTAAGGCTGCGGTTACACCTCTGCAGGCAGCCTGCCTGCCTGCAGGTTGTCATGGTAACGTACAAGAGTAAGAGAGTCAGTGACTTCAAACTTCTCCCTTACTCTCGTTACTCCTGCCTGCGCAGGCAGGCAGCCTGCAGAGGTGTAACCGCAGCCTCACTTCTTCCCTTAGAAATTAACGAAAATTAAAATTTGAACATATAGAGAGTTGAAGGCAGCCGGTATATGTCGCATCTAGAAGAAAAAATAGAAAATCAAAATAAAGATTAAACTATAAGGAAAGGGAACAAGGGATATGAAAATCGCAGTATAGCAACAAGAAATATGAATGACTCAGTTCCTAAATGGAAAGCAAGCAAATAGAACGTATATATTTACTTTGTATAAAATTAATTTAAAAGAAATTTTGTGGCATTTATTTCAAAGGAAAATTGGGTTCAAAAAAAGAAGATGAAAATTAAACTATTATATTTATTAGAGTGATAAAACATTTTTTAACTAGTGACAATTATACAATAAAAGTAAAACACAAAATTAAGTGAATTTGTAGTTATTTTTTCAAATCATTATCACGGAGAGAAAAATCAAGCGTTTGTAGTATGGAGACTTCCTACACGAAAAACCTTTGAGAAGTCTATCTTCCCACTGTCACAAAATTTCGCTTCTCACTGCATGGAAAGTCTGATCGCCCGCCACTGGGTGCGTAGCATTACCGTTTTCGATAGACAAACTTCCCAAAAAGTTTAGAAAATTACAACTGGGTACGTTGGTCACCCAGTTTGGGAGTGCAGATGAACAAGTTTAGTGGTGGCGCTGACGCATAAGTTTCGGGTGAGCAGACTGCTTAAAGGTTTTTCCGTGTATGGTAATTTTGTATGAACGTCCTGCCTAAGAGGCGTGTCCTTACACCTCAGTTGCATAAAACATATACTAAAAAAGCATGGATCTCTTGCAATCGTAGTATACTGACGTCCCATATATGCGTTCAGTGTAGAACTTTTATGCTGATAACGTAGAAATTGATACAAATACAGCACACATTTTACGCTTATTGCGCATGTGCATTCTTTTACGAAATAAGGTTAACTGTTCATACTACAAACACTTGATTTTTCTCTTCGTGTAGCCGCCCTTAATTAATTGTTAAAAATAAAGTAAGGGTTGAACTTGGTCCTTCGAGTTTTTACTGTGCCGAAGATATTACACTTAAGTATGAAAATGATGTTTTCATAACCTAAAAATTTATATTTTTTTTAAATACTTGTGATACTTGTAAATGTATAATTAAATTATAATAAAAGTTTTGAAATTTCAATTTATATTTAATGTTTTAAATATAATGTAAAAGAATCCTTAAATTAATATTTTTTTTAAAAATGTTATTATTGCTATTAGTAGTACTTACTGAACTGTAATTCTCCATGGAAATTACGTAAACCTTTCCAGCAGATACTTTACACTCTTGAGATGCCCTTAATAGCATAAATAATAAAAGTTTTCGAGTTTTAATTGACATATTAGTCCAATCAGAGTCATAACTAAACAATTAATGTCATTATACAAACAGTTAATAGTTGTATTAATGTTATTTTAAATATTTTCTCTTATCCTTTAAAGACAGGAAGGACAATATAACACTCAATGTAATGAATTTCGAGCCAAATTCGATTTTTTAAGAATTCATCCGTTAATTTGAATTTCGAAAAACGGACCTGTCCTTTTCGTTCTTAAGGAGTTGAGAACTATACTTTTCTTTTGAGATTTGTAACTAGAAGATGAATAAGAAAAAGATTTGTAACTCCTTACCAATATTGACTGACTTTAGAACTTTCATCAATTATCATTTGACCAGCAATAGAGTTGAAGTATAAATGTATAATTTGCCCCATAAAAAATGCGCCAAATCTCATAACAATTTGTGGATTATTTAAGTTTAATGCAATCTGTAAGAAATTGACATTACCTTGTTGGAAGGATTTTTAATGTTTTTAGTTATAATTACCTGTACTCCTTGAAAACTAATCATTAGCATGTTAATACCAATGATGCAAAAAAACATACTAGAAAAGCTGAGCTCAATATTATCCGTAAATCTGTATTAAAAAAAGGAATCTACTATTTTAAGTGTATATGAAACATAATTGGAATAATGTTAGTTCTTGAATTCTGTATCTTATGCACCTCAAGCGCATTCAAATTAGATACTACTACAGCATTTATCAAATAAATATTTTTTATTTATATAACCACATTTTTTTTAATTAAAGTGATTTTAGGATTATTAACAAATGCTTGCAAATACTAACTTAAGTATATCATTGTGTAGTTCTATACATCTGACCATCCTTCTGTTAATGTTCCTTTCTTCAATGCTACCAGGCTTAGAAACATAATTTTTGTCCGAAATATTTGATAGTCTATAACTGAAAGTAATTTAAATGTTTAATATAACAATAAGATTTTTAATTAATTGATCATCGATTCAAAATAAAGTAAATTTAAAATATTCGAAAAAATTTATTTTTTAATCTGTGTATATAATGATTCAAAGAAATCTAAAAATTAAAATTTTAGCTTACCCTAATATTTGAAATATTCCAGAAGCATGTTGACAAGTGGTAAGAAAGATAAAATCAATTGCAATTACATTTGTTAACGTTATAAGTGTTGCAAGTATTGAATGTAGGTATATCAAATTATAGTAATTATCATTTTCAATAAAAACGTAGTTGACATGAAAAACATAATTTCTTTCTCTTGATTCATTGAGAGGTAATATTACATCAAGTATCTGTGGTAGAAGCGGAGTTATCACGTAAACAGTTGTGCTCACATAAGAGTAATCTGAAATTTACATAAAAATTGTATTTGACATACCGAAAAAGTTTTTGAACTATTCTACACTATATGCTTACTAAGAATAAACTGTTAGGTCATTTTTGATATATTTTATAATTTTTTAGAGTTATTTTTTATGCCAAGGTTTCTGTTTGGAGAATTCAGTTTCATAATGGTACAATTCTTTAAAACATTTATTTGCATATTCAGTTTGAAAATAATAAAATTAGTTACACTACATATAAAAATTATTGTTATAGATTTTCCTTGTTGGGCAGATTTCTCTATAATTTCCAGCTCCGATTTGCAAGATTTAATTGAATCCCAGTCCCGCTTCATGCTGTCAGTTAAAAATTTTATCTAAACAAAAATATTTATAAGTAAAACGTGTTTTTTTTGGCATAATCTCATTACAATTGCAGTTTCCTTTCGACATGTCGTGAATACGATTTAACACCAAAACATAAACACTAGTGACCGGGAAATTATTTTAATTAATAAAATAATAAATACCTACCTTCGACAAGTTTAAGCTAAAAAATATAGCATAACAGTTGCTGAGAAATACTGCAAACAATGGAGGAATGCATTCTACAAAAATAGCATTATCATGTCTTGCATCATAGAAAGCTATTAACTGTAAAATCACGTTAAGTATTAAGTATTACATTATGAGACAATAAATAATAATGTTACATAATGATATGCTTTTCGTTAGGACACTTTCATTCGAACCTCAATTTTAATTTTAAAAAATGCCCCTTGAATTTAAATACTTACGCCTGGAATTAGAATAAATGTACATATACCGTGAGTAAGTACACGAATTAAAATTCTTTCTGCTTGTAATTGATAGGGCCATTGTCCAAGAACGGATAAAAAAAATTTATTCACGTTTAAATAGTTATCTAATCCACTAGATTTGACCATGTTCTATTAAAAATTCTAATTAAGTCATATTTGTATTTAATATAAAAAATTGTAGAGTAGATAAAAATAAATCTAACTTGTTTTAAAGGAATTGTTGATTTTTGACGCCAAAAAATACTCATTATTTATAGTTGTTTTCACATTCTAAGAGTGACTTTGTCTCTAGGTTTTAAAACATTGTATGATTTCAAAATAATACGTAAAATTGATATGTACAATAAAAAGTAACTATACTGATTCTTGGTTAACATTGACATAATTTAAATAATACATGACATAATTTATATCGAACTTTATATTCAAAAAATAAATGCTTTGTCTGAATCAGGTGCAATATAAAATGCAGAAGAAATTACTCTTTGGAAAATAATATTATTGATTACTCGATACATTTAATGGATTGCCAAGAACTATAGAATATTAAATTGAGTTACAATGAATTTTAAGTCAGTGGGTGACATATTATGCATTAAACGTGTCATTTGAGCTTAATGTATTCATCCACCCTCTATGACTATTATCTTACAATGTTTGCAGTAGTAGAGTCTGGAACTATTTAGTCTGCAAAGGATTTCTGTGTCGATCGTTGTTCTTATCAACTAACATCTAGAATGTTAAATGTTAAAGACATAAAATTGTAAATGAAACGAAAGTATTTAATGAAAACTCTCAAAATATGATCTCACAAAGCTTATGAACTTTTAAAAAATATTGAATTAAGAATTGTCTATTTCTTAAATTTATAAATATGAGAAAGAGGAAGGAAAAATGTAAGGTAATCCTTATGCGATTATTTCTTTATTGCATTTTCTTAATATTCACGTTTATCAGAAGAGTTTAGGTAAATTTGTATTTGTAAAACAAATAGGATCGAATCGTGAATAAAAAATATCATTTTAACTGTAAATATGAAAAGAAGTGTTCATTACTCATAGTTTTTTGATAAAAAATTTGTTTGTTTAATTAATGCTCTATGTACTCCAAGGTAATAAATATATTTTTCAAAAAAAAAATTTTTTAACAGAAAAATGTAAAACCTGCATGGGGTAACTACTCCAGTCGTTGGCACCCTTAAGGCCAAATTTTGACTTTAACGATAAAATTATCAATTTTGAATGAAAATAAACTGAAACATTTAAATGATCTAATAATGATATAATGACACCAATTTTCAGTTGTTGGCACAGAAGCACTATCACTCACAGAAATGATCTATTAAACATAAAACTAATTTCCTTTTAAATCATGTCCTTTAATCGTTAGCAGAAATAGTTTTATTGTAAAAGGAATCTTTTAAATATAAAAAGGTCAGAAGTTTATTGAAAAAAAGAAAAACGTTTAAATATTAACTGATTTCTTTTGATTTTTAAATGAAATCCTTTTGTGTTTTCAAATTGCATTTTCTTAATATTCACGTTTATCAGAAGAGTTTAGGTAAATTTTTTAGTTGATCCACTGATCAACTTTTAAAACAAATGGGATCGAATTGTGAGTAGAAAATATAATTTTAACTGTAAATATGAAAAGAAGTGTTTATTACTCATAGTTTTTTGATAAAAAATTTGTTTGTTTAATTATTGCTCTATGTACTTCAAGGTAATAAATATAATATTTTTCAAAAAAAAAAAATTTTTAAACAGAAAACTACATAGTTTGTTAATGCAATGAACTTAAATATAATTAAATGCATTAATATTGTCAAAGTAAACAAAAAAAAAATTTCTTTATTTGTAAGACACATTTTTTTCTGATAAAAAGTATAGAGTGCTATAAAAACAGTTCGAGTGAAACTTTTATAATGTTTACACTCTACAATAATCAAAGCACTGCAATAATTTAAAAATTATTACATTTTCTGCTATTATTGATAATACGGTTCTTTGAAAATACTTTTTATGATTTCATAACATAGAGGGGAATTAACAAAAAGTAATATTAACTGAATCATTCTATATTTTTTTTATTCATCATATGTTTTTTCAACGAATGTTTACTTTTTAGTAGGAAATCTTAAAGATTTGAGAATGAAGAAAGCTTCGAAACCATTTTTTATTTTGAATTAAATAAAGAAAATAAAATAAATATAAGAATGGCGTCTTTTGGTAAATTTAAAAATAATGGTCATTTTACAATAAAATAGTGATGTTTATAAAGCAATGTATTTTTGAAAATATAAAACTTTTAACCTTTTTAATAAAGTGACAGTTGCTACAAAAACTTGATATACTGAGTTTTATTTATTATTTCATATAAATACATTTATCCTGATAGTGCATCATATTTTTCGCTTACTTCCTGGAAAATAATGTTGCTATCGAAGTACTTATCTTAACTTTATATAGATTTATAAAATAATTTTTTTTACTAATTAAAAATAAAATTAAAAATAATTCTTTTTTTTATTGATATAAACATTTGAAAATAAGATTTTAAATATTATGGCTTCTATTTAAAACATGTTGGTCAATGTCACTCATATTGTTTTGTATGTATACACACATTACTATCATTGATTTTAGACATAATTATTATGTCAGTTATTTACTCAAGCTTTAATACAAATTTTCATTTGATCACCCTTATGAAGTGCATTTATAAGAGTTGTTGAAGATAAACAATTCCATGTTTGTTATCAACTGTTTTTTTCTCTGTTATACAATCTTGATTAAAATTCTACTTATGTGTGGCCGCTTGCTCTTCAGTTCGTCATAATTTATTGAAGATACACAATCTTCAGTTATACAGTGATTTCGTCGATAAGACTCGTTAATAGCATCGATTGCAATTATTACGGACTTTTCGTTTTAATATCAGGTTGTATAAATTTTCTGATTAAATGTTGAAATTTTATTTTAAATAATTTATTTTAAAATAATATTGAAAAGAATTTTTCAATTCTCGAAGAAAAAGGAAATTAAAAAAAAATTATTTGCTTTAATGTTGGTACAAAATAACCCCAAGTTTGTAGGGTGGTTATTTTTATTAAAATTGAATAAAATTTAAAATATTAAATTTTAAATCTATAAAACTTAATTTTCAAAATTACCCCTTAAGGATTAGTTTCAAAAAGTGTTAAAAAAATTAAAAACTTTTTGTTATCAGACAATTATAAAAAATGAATATTCTTAAATTTATTTACAATACTTTTTCAAATTTTATATATTAAAAAAAGCATTTTATGCTAAACCCCTTAAAATAAACATTTTTTTTAAATTACCTAAAAGTTGGGGTAATATTTAAAAAATATTAAGTTTACAGGGATAACAAAAATTTTCTGATGAAATAAATATATTATTTTATTAACAAAATTAAAACTAACTTATAAGTATTATTAAATTTCTATCCCCTTGAAAAATAAATATCAGGAAAAATATATATAAATATTTTTTCTAAAACTTAAATGGCTGAAACTAAAATTTTAAAAATCGATTTTTTATGACTGCGAAGCCTTCTCAATGAGGAAGCAATAAAATCAGAGATTAAACTGAATTATGACTTTTTCACATAGTGCAGTCAAAAATTTTAAAAGTAAATTATTATTTTTTAAAATTAAAAATTCATTATTTTTTTATAATTATATATTATTATTTATTATTATTATCCAAATATTGTTGCGTGAAATTATATTCCTTAGTTCTTAAAATAATGTAAATTAAGTATCTTAACACATGTAAGCTTATAAACCTTTTGCAAGGTTTTTTCATGCTTTAAAAAAAAAAAAAATTGTAATTAATATAATAATTAATAGTTAGTAATTATTTTATGATATTCATTTTTTAGGCTTCATTGAATTGTACATAATAAAATTTAAAAATTTAAGAAAAAAAAATAAAAATTTAAAAGAAATTAATTTTTGTTTTTTTAAAAAACTTTTTTCCAAAAAAAGAAAGAGAGTTTTAATAGAATTCGTAGTTTTTTTTTATTAAATTCATACTTACTAATTAATAGTAGATGATTTTTAACACTTATTATAGATAATTGTATAATAAAATTTTTTTTTTAAAATATAAATTTTTTTCTATGTTAGCTTATCAGGTCGGTAATTTGACTTTCAGTGTTATATTTTTAGATAATGTTACAATTTAAAATTTGAATGTCAATTGCTTCAGTTAGACAACTTTTTTCTTTTTTTAAAAAGTGACTGTGCTCGGGATAGAGTTTAAATGTTTTATCTAAAATAATATTGTTTATGTGACAAAAAAAATAATGTTATGTAAGTAACTGAATGTATATCTAACAGTTAATTATAAATGTCAAATGTTTTTTTTTTTATTTTAGAAAATCGTTATCTTCCTTTGTGCATTTTATTTCATTTTTTTATCATTCTAACCACTGGTTACTCGATGATTTGAATTTATTATTAATAACAAAGCGAATGTTTACTTGTTTTCTTGTTTATAAAACAACCCAAATGGGATGTACTTGTATTCAAATTTATTTGTCATACTACATTAGTAGAATTATTATTATAGTAAATTATTAATAAATTATTATTTATTAATTATTCTATAATATTAATTTTAAATTTTTTTTACTGTTTAAGTGAATTTAAGGTTTTTAAAAAAATTTAAAAACTTATGGTGCCGTCTTTGTGTATGAAATATTTTTCGTAATGACTGAATGAGCTTTAAACTGTAACGTAATTTTCAAGAACGTTTATTATTCACGAATGGTTATTAACATATCGAAAATTTATTTTATACTGTTCGCTAAATATTTTTGCATAAATTTACAATATTTTCTTCTTAAAAAAAAAGATATAAGTCTGCTAAGAAATGAAATGGGATTTTAAACTTTAAAACTACATTTTTTTAAAAAATATTTCTGATTTAAAATTACAATTGATTACAGTAAAAAATTTTTAAAAAGAGTCGTTACTAAAAAACAAGAGAAAAAATACAATAAAAAAGGCGGTGAACATAGGAGACAAAGAAATTTTTCATTAATATTTTTGATGATTATGATAAAAAATTTAAAAAATAGATGAAAGGGATGATGAAGTTGATTTAAATGATGAAGAAAAGGAAATAATGAAGAAAACTGAACAAGATTTCGATGAATTCAAGAACGTCCAATGGTCCAATGATTTTGGTTTTTTCTTTTATTTTGGTCATTTTGAAGAAAAATTTATTAATAGATTTTGGAATGAAGATATTGGGGTTTTTGGGATGGTAATTACGAATTTGCATTTAGTTTTCGTTTTTTTTAATTTTAAAACTTGTACCAAGTTGGGACCCTTTGATTTCCGCATTCACCACGACAATGCGACATTTCGCGTTTTCCATATTAGGTTGATACAGTCTTTTTTGAGACAGTCTTTCTGCATTACATCAGATTTTAATATTCACCCTGGTATTTATGATCATTAAAAAAAATTAAAGAAACTAATTACTGAGAGACCTTTTGGTCTGTAGCAGACTTTTGATGGGCTTCTGCTGATAATTTTGATGGTATGGGATACTGCGGTACGATTATTGACGATTGTAACTCACCAAAAGTTGAAAAGCAAGAAGCGTGGCATTCCTACTAGCGAGCAGCTCACCTAACATTTTTACAGTCACATGTGAGAAATTAGTTGGGGTACCAATCATAATCATAAACGCTGCTGTTATCATTGTAGTTCTGCTGCAATCCAAAAGATCTCAAGATCTCTAATCGATGCAAACGTTAACTATAATAGTAATACTGTAAAAAAATTCATCATAATTTTATTTCTGTATTTCACTTTCAGATAAATGAGAGAACACCACTGCTCGAATCATCAAGTCACACTATGGCAGAGAAAGTAGGTGTATCACAACAAACTCTCGTATCGGATACTAATCTCGATGGACAAGCTCGGAAATTACCTCAATATGCTGCTGGACTTGCATCGACACTCGGCGCAATGGCAGCAGGAATGGTACTTGGCTGGACGTCACCAGCTGGTTTAACTGTTGAAGGCACAAACATTACAAAATTAGCCCACGAATATGAAATATCAATATCGAGTGAAGAATTTTCATGGATTGGCTCATTGACGACACTTGGTGCTGCTGCAATATGTGTACCAATTGGAATTCTCTCGGACATAATAGGAAGGAAAATTTCTATGCTAATGCTTGTAGTTCCCTTCACAATCGGTTGGGGTCTTATAATTGGAGCGAATTCAGTGGCATTATTTTATGCCGGACGTTTTATACTCGGTGTGAGTGGTGGAGCATTCTGTGTCGCTGCTCCCATATACGCTGGAGAAATTGGTCAGAGTGAAATACGAGGGCAACTTGGATCTTATTTTCAATTGATGATGACAGTTGGTATTCTCCTCACTTACGCGCTAGGAATGGCTGTGGATATATTATGGTTGTCTGTGATCAGTGCCATTGTACCAATAATATTCTTCGCTGCATTTATTTTCATGCCAGAATCACCGACATATCATCTGATGAAGGGGAATATGGATGCTGCACGAGCTAGTATGGCTAAACTCCGAGGACCTGACTATAATGTCGAACCGGAATTATTAACCCAACAGGAGACACTTGACGAAATGAATAGAAACAGAGTATCATTCCTCACAGCCATAAGATCCAAGGCTGCTAAAAAAGGACTTATTATCGCTTTTGGTTTGATGTTCTTCCAACAACTTAGTGGAGTGAACGCAATTATTTTCTATGCTGGAAAAATTTTTGCCGCCGCTGGAAGTTCAATGTCTTCGGAAGTTTCTACAGTCATCGTGGGTGTAATGCAATGTGTTGCTGTATTTGTAAGCACACTAATTGTCGATAAACTAGGAAGAAGAATTTTACTTCTAATATCAGAGGTTGCAATGTGTTTAACAACATTAATTGTTGGAGTTTTCTTTATTTTACAAGAACAAAAGCAGGATGTGAGTGCAATTGGCTGGCTACCATTGACTGGTGTTTGTCTTTTCATTGTTCTTTTTTCCCTTGGATTTGGACCAATACCATGGATGATGATTGGAGAAGTATTTTCATTGCAAACAAAAGGAACGGCCGGAAGTGCCGCGTGTTTATTTAATTGGTTAATGGCATTTATTGTAACGAAATTTTTCAGTAACTTAACAGAATCATTTGGCAATGGAGCGACATTCATCATATTTTCAGTAATATGTGGAATTGGAGTTGTTTTCGTTTATTTCCTTGTGCCAGAGACAAAGGGAAAAACGCTACAAGAAATTCAATCAGAATTGGAGGGTAATTAGACGATATGTATATATATGTTTTAATCTTGGACAATGTTCATCTTGAAACCAAAAGAGTAAATTATGTATATATTGAATTTTGCAAAACAAAAGAATACGAAATTAACATCTGGAAATTAGGACAAATGTGATATAAATGTAACATATGTGTGTAATTACTTTTGTTTGAAGATTTTTAAATGACTTTTAAAATAAGAAAAATTATACAACTACTTTAGTGAATTTATCATAATTTAATAATAAAATCAAAATATATTTACATAAACAAGTGTAATTTTCCTTAGACCAATAATTTCAAGTAAATCCTTTGTCCATTTTATATTTTTATGCTATTCGCGGTTGCAGTCATCAATCTAGAAGAAGCAAACAGTTTGGAGAAACTGGAATATGATAAAGTAAATACCAAACATATTACCAACCATATATTAATGTGTTGTTGCCACTCTTGTTACTGCGCTGAAGATATTACACTTAAGTAAGAAAATGATGTTTTTATAACCTACAAAAAAACCACTTTTTTATTTATATTTTAGTTAAAATTTACTGTTTTTAAGGTAAAGTAAAAAATTCGTAATGGAAGCTTTGTTTTTAAAATAGAACTTCAATAGGACTACTTACTGAAGTGTAATTCTCCATTGAAATTACGTACACCTTTCCAGCAGATACTTTACACTCTCGAGATGTTCTTAATAGCATAAATAATAAAAGTTTTTTAGATTTTGTTGACATATTGGTCCAATTACTGTCATAACTAATAAATTAATGTCATTAGAAATAGTACAATCACCTAAACGCATATATGTTGTCCATCAAATCGGAAGGACAGCATTTATGAATTTGTATATAATTCTACTGAAACCATCTTTAACCCTCTGCTGATGTTAACCACCTTTATCGACAAAAATCGTCATTTTAAACCCCTAAAAGAAACTATTTGTGATACGATCTTTGGCGATAGAATGGAGATAAGTTAGCATCGTCAGACGCTTAAAGGCACTTTTCTTTTATGGTTCATTACTTCTTACCAATATTGACTGACTTTAGAACTTTCATCAATTAACAATTGACCAGGAATGGTGTTAAAATATAAATGAATAATTTGTGCCATGAAAAATGAGCCAAATCTCATAAGAATTTGTGTGTTGTTCAAATTTAATACAATCTGTAAAATTTGATGACAGATGTTAGTAGATTGCAAATCTTTGTACCTTTCTAAGTAGGCACCGTTGGAAGCCTTTCTGGGGTACCCTTGTAAATTGTCAGTACAAAAATGACTTTGAAGATAACTTGCTTAGATAAATTACCTGTACTCCTTGAAAACTGATCATTAGCATGTTAATACCAATGATGATAAAAAACATAGTTGAAAAGCTAAGCTCAATATTCTCTGTAAATCTGTATTTCAAAAAGAAATTATTTTCAAATTCCTGTTAGAAAATTAAGGAGTTAGCTATAGCTAAAATATTAATTTTAAGATAGTTCTCAATTGCAATCATTTCAGGTATATAAAATAAGAAAATGCTTGAAAATACTAACTTGAGTATATTATTGTATAGTTTTATACAACTGATCATCCTTCTGTTTACCTTGTCGTCTTCAATGATATCACGATTACAAATATAGTTCTTGTCCGCAACTTTTGATAGTCTGTAACTGAAAATATTTTACATTGCACTTAAGGTCAATTGATATTATATTTATAAGTTAATTATAGTAATTTGGGAATATTTAAAGTCAGCCACTACAATGGAAGACGAAAAAGCTTACCCTAAGAGTTGAAACATTCCACAAGCATGTTGAACAGTGGCAAGAAAGATAAAATCAATTGTAATTATATTCGTTAACGTTAAATATGCTGCAATTATTGAATGTATATATATCAGAATGTAGTTATTATCATTTTCCATAAAAACATAGTTAACATGAAAAACAAAAAGTCTTCCTCTTGATTCATTGAGAGGTAAAATTTTGTCAAGTATCTGTGGTAGAAGTGGTGTCATCAAATACACAGTTGAACTCACGTAAGAGTAAACTAAAATTCATATTTAAAACGTTTCATGTCCGTTTTATAACAGCTTTTAAGAACGTCCAATATTCGAAAAACGTTTTTGGAATATATAACGTTTTTAAGACTTTATGTGGAGGACATGAAACTTTCTAAAAACGTTTTAGGAACGTTTCTAGAACAAAGACGTGACCAGAGGGATATATTCACAGTTTTAAAAATAATTATATTAGTTACTCTACTCATAAAAGTTAATATTAAAGTTTTTCCATGTTGGGCAGATTTCTGTAGAATTGCTAGCTCCGATTTACAATATTTATATGTTTCCCAGTCCCTCTTCATGCTCTCAGTTAAAAATTTTATCTAAACAAAAATATATTTATAAATAACTCGTGATTTTCATGGTGATAATTTAATTGTATATAAGAGTGTGCAATTTTAGTCAAGAAAGTGATTGTTGTAGGACTTTACAAACGAAAAAAGAATTTACATTGTAATAACCGAACAAAAAGTGAGGGAAAGTCGAGAGCAATTTTTTTCAACTTAACAGCATTCAGTAATATTTATTTGACAGTATTTTATATTCTAAAACTTGTTATAAATATTTTCAATGAGATGGAAACTTGAAAATGTAATAAAATAAATACATACCTTTGAAATGTTTAAACTATAAGACATAGCATAAAAGTAACTAGCAAATACTGCAAATAATGGTGGAATGCATTCAACAAAAACAGCAGATTCATGTCTGACATCATACAAAGCTATTAACTGTAAAACATTAAGTTTTATTATAAGTATTAAATTAAGCCTTATCAAGAGATTAAATAATTTTGTAAACTATAATTAATTATAAGAATATTAATGTTCAAACGCCCCTAAATTTCTGAAATATTTGTAAATTTTTACATTCTCTAAAAGCGGAGAATAGAAATATTCCCTTAAATTTAAATATACTTACGCCTGGAATTAAAAGTAATGTACTTATTCCGTGGCAAAGTAGACGGAAAAATATTCTTTCTCTAGGTGATTGATAGGGCCATTGTCCAACAAATGATAAAAAATATTTATTCACTTTTAAATAGTCATCTATTCCCTTAGATTTATTCATGTTCTATCAAAAAATTTTAATTTAGTATATTTTTCTTGTCATCCAATATACAAGGATAGAAAATTGTCATATAGAACAATTATGTATATTTCCACTATATTACAATGAATAATAAAAAATTATTTTTTCCTAACTGCATATATTGAATAATGTAAATAAGTATAATTACTTGTTTTAAAGAAATTTTTGATTTTTGATGGCAAAGAATAGGCATCATTGCTTTTAGAATTGACGCTTTTTTTACTTTTGTACTTTTATCTCTGTATCCAGTTTTAAAACATTTTATGATAATAAAGTAATAATTGACATTTAATATATAATTGGTGTATAATTGAAATATTGTAACTACTTGTTTCTTAACATTGACATAATTTAAATGTATTGAATACTACAAAATAAGAAATGCTTTGTCTATACATAGTCATCGGGCATCTTCTACATATTTTGAAATGTAAGTAGAAATTGCTCTTTGGAAAATCAGATTATTGATTAGTTGATACATTTAATGGATTGCCAAGAACTATAGAATATTAAATTCAGTTACAATGAATTTTAAGTCAGTGGGTGACATATATGCATTAAACGTGTCATTTGAGCTTAATTTATTCATCCACCCTCTATGCGTCTATTATCTTACTAATACTTCCCATTACAGACAATATTTGTAGTAGAATCTGAAATTATTTTGTCTTCTAAAGATTTCAGTATCAATCGTTGTTTCTATCAATTCACATAAAGTGTTATATATGTTAAAGCAAAATTTTAAATCTGTCGACTGAAAAATTGTTTTAAATGTATTAAGTGAAAGTATTTTATGAAAACTTGAAAATAATATGATGTCACGAACATTATTAACTTTTAAAGAACAGTAACTATTGAATTAATAATTGTCGATAAAAATATATAAATGCCAGAAAGGATAGAAGAAATAGAATTTCAAATTGTTACGGAATGACTTTATCACTCTTGGTCAGTATACCCCGCATTAATAATTTATTCCTCAGCAATCTTCAAAATCGCAATCCAGATTTGGGATCATGACCAATTTGATAAATTCGAGATGGTTAAGGTACTCTTTTTGATGAGTTTACTAATGCTACCTCACTGTATTCCTCACCACTCTGTGAGACTCTTGTGTCAGACAAAATATACAATTATACGAGCTGACCACCCCCTATTCTGAAAGCTGGATCTGCCCCTATTAATGATCATGGTTCCTTATTGGATATTGTTTCGTCTAATTGTAATTTAGAATCAGTGTCTTTGTCTTTGTCTTTATTGCCTTGCGACAAATATCACCCGTCACTTTCGTATGAACTTGATTTATTTTTTGAGGATGGTCCTCTTAGAAGGACTAAAAGTAAAAGGCAGGAATGATTTTATATACAGACTTTTTTACTTATTTATTATTAATATTGTCACTTATTTCTCCTTTTACAGTTTTGCTACTGACAATTTTTGTATTTTATTCAAATTTAATTTGTTGTTGCCACTTTTGTTACTGCGCCGAAGATAATACACTTAAGTATGAAAATGACGTTTTTATAACCTAAAAAAATATTATCACTTTTTTATTTATATTTTACCTAAAATTTAGTGTTTTAAGGTAAAGTAAAAAATCCATAATGGAAGCTTTGTTTTTAAAATAGAACTTCAATAGTAATACTTACTGAACTGTAATTCTCCATGGAAATTACGTAAACCTTTCCAGCAGATACTTTACACTCTCGAGATGCTCTTAATAGCATAAATAATAAAAGTTTTTGAGATTTTGTTGTCATATTGGTCCAATTACTGTCATAACTAATCAATTAATGTCATTAGAAATCAGGACTGCATATATGAATTTGTATATAATTCTACTGAAACCATCTTTAACCCTCTGCTGATGTTAACCCCACCTATATCGACAAAAATCGTCATTTTGAAACGCTAGTGGAAACTATTTGTGATACGATTTTTAGCGATAGAATGGGGATAAGTTAGCATCGTCAGATGCTTAAAGGCACTTTTCTTTTATGGTTAATAACTTCTTACCAATATTGACTGACTTTAGAACTTTCATCAATTAACAATTGACCAGGAATGGTGTTAAAATATAAATGAATAATTTGTCCCATGAAAAATGAGCCAAATCTCATAAGAATTTGTGTGTTGTTCAAATTTAATACAATCTGTAAAATTTGTCGACAGATGTTAGTAGATTGAAAATATTTGTTTCTTTTTTTTAAGTAGGTAGTGTTGGAAGCCTTTCTAGGCTACCCTTGTAAATTGTCAGTACAAAAATGACAATGAAAATAATTTGCTTAGATAAATTACCTGTACTCCTTGAAAACTGATCATTAGCATATTAATACCAATGATGATAAAAAACATAGTTGAAAAGCTAAGCTCAATATTATCTGTAAATCTGTATTTCGAAAAGTTATAGTTTCTCAATTGCAATCATTTTAGGTATATTAAATTATCAACTGCTTGAAAATACTAACTTGAGTATTTTATTGTATAGTTTTATACAACTGACCATCCTTTTGTTCACCTTGTCGTCTTCAATCATATTACGGTTACAAATATAGTTTTTGTCCGCAACTTTTGATAGTCTGTAACTGAAAATATTTTACATTGCACTTAAGGTCAATTGATATTATATTTATAAGTTAATTAGTGATTTGGGAATATTTAAAGTCAGCCACTACAATGGAAGACGAAAAAGCTTACCCTAAGAGTTGAAACATTCCACAAGCATGTTGAACAGTGGCAAGAAAGATAAAATCAATTGCAATTATATTCGTTAACGTTAAATATGCTGAAGTTATTGCATGTATAAATATGAAATTGTAGTGATTATCATTTTCCATAAAAACATAGTTGACATGAAAAACATAAGCTCTTTCTCTTGATTCATTAAGAGGTAATATTACATCAAGTATCTGTGGTAGAAGAGGAGACATCACGTAAACAGTTGTACTCACATAAGAGTAAACTAAAATTCATATAAAAATTTTATTTGACATAAAAAAGAATATGCCAAATTTCTATTAGGAAACAAAGGACTATTTCTAAACTATTATGCTTTCTTTGAATAAACATTTAGGCCATTATTGATTTTTATTTTGAATTATAGACTTTCACAGTTTTGAAAATAATAATATTAGTTACTCTACTCATAAAAGTTAATATTAAAGTTTTTCCATGTTGGGCAGATTTCTCTATAATTTCTAGCTCCGATTTACAAGATTTATATGTTTCCCAGTCCCTCTTCATGCTCTCAGTTAAATATTTTATCTAAACAAAAATATTTATAAATAACTCGTGATTTTCATGGTAATAATTTAATTGCATGTAAGATTTGCACAATTTTAGCCAAAAAGTGATTATTGTTGGACTCTACAAACCAAGAAAGAATTTACATTCTAATAACCGAACCAAAAGTGGTGGAAAGTCAAGAGCAATTTTTTTTAACTTAACAGCATTCAGTAATATTTATCTGACTGTATTTATTATTCTAGAACTTGTTATAAATTTGTCCAATGGCCTATCAAACATGAAAATATAATAAAATAAATACATACCCTCGACATGTTTAAACTATAAGACACAGCATAACAGTAACTAGCAAATACTGCAAATAATGGTGGAATGCATTCAACAAAAACAGTAGATTCATGTCTGACATCATACAAAGCTATTAACTGTAAAACTATTAACTGTAAAGTTTTATTTAGTCATGCCGCGAGACGAGACGATAACACGTAAATTCTCGTTTCGTCTCGTCTCGTCTCGACTTTTTGCATGGACGAGAGAACTCTCGCGGCATCACTATAGTTTTATGAAATATTAAATTAAGCCTTAATAAGAGATAAAATAATTTTGTAAACTATAATTTATTAGAATATTTAGGTTCGAACGCCCCTAAATTTCTGAAATATAATTGTAAATTTTTACATTCTCTAAAAGTGGATAATAGAAATATTTCCTTAAATTTAAATTAACTTACGCCTGGAATTATAATTAATGTACATATTCCGTGGCAAAGTAAACGAAAAAATATTCTTTCTCTAGGTAATTGATAGGGCCATTGTCCAACAAATGATAAAATATATTTATTCACTCTCAAATAGTCATCTATTCCCTTAGATTTATTCATGTTCTATCAAAAAATTTTAATTTAGTATATTTTTCTTTTCATCCAATTGTTACGACACCGTAACCTATTTTCAATAATAATATGTAGAATAATAATTAATAATAATAATAATAATCATAATAATAATAATATTATTAATTATAATAAAATTCAGTATCAAAGATTGTTATTTACATATTATTATAAATAATAATAATAGATAAATATAACAAACAGTAATAAACAACAATAAATTGTAATATAAATATTAACAAATAATAACAAAATTGTAATAATAAACAAATAACAATAATAAATTGTAATAATAAATATTAGCAAATAATAACAAATTGTAATAATAAATAGATAAATATAACAATTTTAACTATAACTTTAACAAACAATAATAAACAACAATAAATTGTAATATAAATAATAATAAATTGTAATGATAAATATTAACAATAACAACAGAATTGTAATAATAATAAATTAGGAAATTATAACAACTTTAATTGTAACAAAATTAAACAATTATAATTAACAAATAACATATGAAATTATAAATATCAAATTGTAATAACAAATCATAATTAATTAATTGTAATAACAAAATTATAAAAAATAACGTATGAGTAATAAGGAATGGACACGTGCGATCTAATAGATGAGTCAACGCAAGTGTTCGAGTAACAAAGGTTTCCCAAAAATGCATGGCGTAGTGAACAATCTTCAGTCTTACTGAACAATCTTCAGTTAGTCTAAAATTTTCATTTTCACCCCCGCTGTATGCAGGTAAAGAGAGACACCACTATTAGACTCAGAAATTAGAAAGCTTGTGTCCATTCCATCTTTGCATTATTTTGATCTATTTAAAATATATTTGTTCAAATAAGGTTAGTTCTTGTTCATTTACCAAACCCCGTCCCTATTTTGATTATTATTAATTAAAATTAAATCGGGAAACATTAGGGAATATAATAATTAAGTAACTTTATTGCATATTGAATAATGTAAATAAGTATAATTACTTGTTTTAAAGAAATTGTTGATTTTTGATGCCAAAGAATAGCCATTATTGCTTTTAGAATAAATGCTTTTTTGTCATTTGTACTTTTATCTCTGTATCCAGTTTCAAAACATTTTATGATAATAAAGTAATAATTGATATATAATTGAAATATTGTAACTACTTGTTTCTTAACATTGACATAATTTAAATGTATTGAATACTACAAAATAAGAAAAGCTTTGTCTACATAGTCATCGGGCATCTGCTACATTTGAAATGTAAGTAGAAATTGCTCTTTGGAAAATCAGATTATTGATTAGTTGATACATTTAATGGATTGCCAAGAACTATAGAATATTAAATTCAGTTACAATGAATTTTAAGTCAGTGGGTGACATATATGCATTAAACGTGTCATTTGAGCTTAATTTATTCATCCACCCTCTATGCGTCTATTATCTTACTAATACTTCGAATAATATTTGCAATAGTGTCTAGAACTATTTTGTCTTCTAAAGATTTCAGTATCAATCGTTGTTTCTAATAGTTCACATAATTTGAAGGTTTTATTAGATTACATTTTAAACGTTCTGAAAGCGAGATTCAGTGTATTTTCAATATTGTACTGTATAAAGTTCTTTTTTTTTAGGTTCTAAACAATGTTACTACTCAACGGTGCCTTTGTAAAAATTTAAAAAAAATAAATTTTAACTATATTAATCTTCATGTTCATTCTGTCTATCACAGTGTGAGAGAGAAAGCAAGAGAAAGAGAGGGAGGTCTCTCCCTTTAGTTTAGTATAGGAAGGACAGAGAAACGAATAGGTAAGATAGTAACGCCTATTTCTTTGGTTTACAGAAGAACATAAATATTTTCTCCATTTTCCGTGTTAGGTAGAAAGAGAGGAACAGGATTTATAATTATTATATTGTTATGTTATCACCATAGTCAGGGAAACAAAATTTTTGTCAGTAAAGTCTGGGAAATGTTAATAAAAAAAATTTTTTTAGGGAAAGTAAGAAAATGGAGACTTTTTTCGACTTATAAACAAATCTTTCAAATTAATGGAAATTGGCATCTAATTTTTTATAATGCAATATTTTCAGTATTTATAATTACATATTTCCAAAAATCCAAGCACATACGAAAATAATATTTTAGAATTATTTTTAACATTTTGGAAAAAACATTCATATTCAAAATTTTTAATTAAAATTCATCATATAATTAAATTATACAAAAATTCTATTAAGAAATTCAATCCTATTTTCAAAAAATTTCATTAAAATTTTTTTCAAAACTATAATTCGTATAATTGTTTTATAATAATTATTTAAGATTCTTTTATCTTCAAAAAATGTAAATAAAAATTTATGAATATTTACTTTTTGGACTTATTGATATTTTTGAGAAATTATGGTACTGCGTTTATAATTAAAATTCTCTCAATATTTGATCATTTTCATAAATATTTCTTAATAATTCTATTATTTTTAAAAGATTTTACCAAATTTTAGTTGTGTTCGAAGATAATTGAATCTCAAATAATTATTATAAAACAATTATACTAATTAGCTTTTAAAAATAATTTAATTTTTCGAAAATAATTTTATTCTTTACAAGAATTTTTGTATAATTTAAAAAAACTTCTACGCATTTTTAAAGAGGTTTTCGTTCATATTTTGTGTTTATTAAAAATATAAAAAAATCCATGCGGAAATCCACATGTCAATCCATGCGGATTTCATGTGGATAGTTTCAAATCTCCATATGGATTTCTACCTGAAAAGTCCATGGGAAAATCCAAACGATTTTTTTCAGCTGGGCAGTTTTCCAGCAAACTGACAATTTAAGGAAATAATTATAAAATTAAAAAAATATTATTATATTTATGTCGTAAAACTGCTCAGTGTGTTAAAATTAATTTTTGATTTTCATGTTTTATGTTTTTTTAATATTCTTCAAAAAAATTTGTAATCTTTTTCTAATATTTCAGATGAAGAAAAAAACATATCTTAAAGTCTTTAGTCACATTTTTATATACACACAATGAAATAAGGTCTTGAGTAATTGAGTATCATAAGACAAAAGTAGAAATATCTCGCGCGCTTTACAGCGCGCGTAGATCTGCTAGTTTTATATACATATATTATATTTTGTGTATGGTAATTCGCTTGAATTTCGTACGAAATTCGTAAGGAAATTTGATCAAAATTGTTTTAAAGAAATTATTTGCTGACATTCCGTGCGGCATTCCATACGAATTTCGGAGCAGAATAATTTTATAAAAATTCTCTAAAAGAAATCCGTTCATAATTCATTCGAATTTCGTATGAAAATTCTGCCGAAAATTTTTGAGGAAGTTTTTAGTTGACATTTCGTGCGGCATTTCATACGAATTTCCGAGCAAGATTTTATAAAAAATTTTCAAAAAGAAATCGGGTGGTAATTCGCTCGAATTTCGTATGGAAATTTTGACGAAAATTTTTGAAGAAATTTTTAGTTGACATTTCGTCCGGCATTCCACACGAATTTCCGAGCAGAATTGAGCCGCCGGATCGTAGAAGGGCACGTAAAACATTCAGTTTTTCGAGTACGTATTATAATTTTAGTTTTTTTAATTTTAGTTTCTCGTTATAAGTAATGTTCGGCTGTGAACCGCCGAATGTATGGGCAGCCTATCTAGGTTAATGCCCAACATTGGTGGTCCCAGGGAAAAGAAGCGGCGCTTGGTGACGACCGTGGATCAAGCAAAGCAGTTTTATGCTGCCCCTGCATGGGCTGATTTGACAGTCTTAACCTCCTGTCGAGTCACGGTGAGTCTCAATAAAGTTCAACCCAAAAGTCTTTTCACTATAAATTTTTTTACAGATATTTGTTCACACGTGAAATTAGAATATTTTTCGCCTAAAATGAAAATCATCTTTCGAGGGTTTTTAAAATGAACTCATTTTTTTTCGTTTTTTTGTAGGTTAATTGCTGTTATTTCATTAAAAATTGAAATATAAAATTTATTTTTTTTATTTCTCTAATTTAAGGTCTCGTGAACAATTTCCCATAGATGAAGATTTAAAATTTTAAATCTTAAAATTTTAAGAAATAACCTAAAAATCGCAAAGAAACAAGATTTTTTGAGAATTTTTTTAAAACACTATTATAATAACAAAAATAAATCTTCATCTATGGGAAATTGTTCACGAGACTTTAAAGGAGAGAAATAAAAAAAATAAATTTAATATTTCAATTTTTCATGAAATAACAGCAATTAACATACAAAAAAACGAAAAAAATCGAGTTCATTTTAAAAACCCTCGACAGATGATTTTCATTTCAGGCGAAAAATATTCTAATTTCACATGTGAACAAATATCTGTAAAAAAATTTTTAGTGGCAAAACTTTTGGGTTGAACTTTATCGAGACTCACCGTGGAGTAGTATCAATTGTTGTTGAACATCTTCGATCGGTTGATAACTAAATTCCATTAATTAAATGATTTCATGATTTACATAATATGATGTACTATCAACCAAGACGTTACAAAAATTAACCAAAACTTACCTCATCCAGAATTTTATGAGCTTTCCAAATCTGTAAGATTCAAGTCTGTTTTTATTTTTGTCAAAGACATTATGATTTTATTGAACCGTTGATGTGCACTACTGTCGATTATTGTCCAGTTCACACCATTAGAGATGGCTAAGGGTGTTAGTTATGCTGATGTCTTGGAAAAGCTCAAAAGAGAGGCTGACCTTGATGCCAGCCAGACAAGAATGGTGGTCGGAAGCAATGCCCACAAAGAAAGTTGACCTTTTTTTAAAAATAGAAGGCTTACCAGGAAAGGAGAAGTTCGTTGAGAAGGTGACAAGGATTATGGGTGAGCTTGGTAAGGTGCAGATGGTGGATCGAAATATGTTTTATTATAATTTATTTATGTTTGTAATAAATTTTCCCTTGAATAACACAAAACTCGAGCAATACTTCGAACACAATTTCAGCAATATTTCGTTTGAAGATAAATTGAAACTTTTTAACTGGCGTGAACAGGAGCACGAAAATATTAGACTATCGCGTAGAGAACCACTTGTTAAAGATGAAAATTTTAGACTGAGACTTGTACGAAGCACTACTTCTTAATTTGAGACTTGTAATACTGAAGACTACATTTTCTTGGCTGACTTTTCTTGACCGACTTGCTTTTGATGGTCTGGCCCTTTTTATACCAAAATGCATCTTTAAAAGAGGCAGCGAACATTCTAAAAATGATAGCAGAGGTCAGCAAGATGCTGAAGTCCAGAAGAATGTCAATTTGAATATCAAGGATTGGACAATCATTATTGGAGGGCAGTCGAGTTGGAGGAGCAATCTGCTAATCTGTAAGTAGAAATTTTAGGTAAAGTTTGTTAAGTAATTACGTCGAGTTGACAAAGACAGGATAAATGATATAAATGAAAGAGAGGAAGGAATGTTAGGGAATTATCAAAGAGTGCTTCATCTCATTAATTAATCTTCTATTACAGAGTTTTAATTATGATAGTGTTTATTATTTGTTCTAGAAATATTTTGTTCATACAAAGAAGTTGCTGTTGACAGAATAGTAATAATAGATCGACATCTCAATCCTTACATTTTATTAATTATTTATATCTATATTTATTAATTATTCTTCAAAAGGATTTCAACTTTTAACGATGTGAAGATTAAGTTTTAGAATTACTTTAGAATTTCCATTTCGTCTATATTTAAGAAATTGTTTTTTCGTCACTGCGCTGACAATAATACACTTAAGTATGAAAATGATGTTTTCATAACCTGAAAAATATAACATTTTTGAAATACTTAAATTATAAACATATGATTATGTCAGAGCTTTCATTTCTCATTTGGATATTACTACTTACTGCACTGAAATTCTCCATTGAAATTATGTACATCTTTCCAGCAGTTACATTACACTGTCGAGATGCTCTTAATAGCATAAATAATAAAAGTTTTCGAGATATATTATCTGTAAATCTGTATTTCAAAAAGTTACAGTTCTCAATTGCAATCATTTTAGGTACATTAAATTATCAACTGCTTGAAAATACTAACTTAATTATATTATTGTACAGTTGTATACAGTTGACCAGCCTATTTCTCACCTTGTCATCTCCAATGATATCACGGCAACAAATATAGTTTTTCTCCACAATGTTTGACAGT